GTCAAATTCTCACGACCTGTTCTCTGAATGTCCAAACTGATATTCTGTTAACATCTGTCTTCAATGGTTAAGTCAGCTCCCACTGTGTATCCCATGTAAACCTGTACCTCCCCAGTAACCGTGGCCATTTTCTATCCAGAAATGCCTCAGTGCCTGATTGATTGACTCTGCTGTGGAACAGAGGGAAAGGAAAGCTTGCTGATCGTTTTGAGGAGTCCCAATGTGGTCATAATGGTGCCAAAACTGTGTTGGTAATTTTTTTAACCTTTTTTTTAGTTGTAAATGGACACAATTTCTCTATTTATTTATTTTTATGTGGTGCTGAGGATCGAACCCAGCGCCTCACATATATGAGGTAAGTGCCCCACCACTGAGCCGCATCCCCAGCCCCTGTGTTGGTAATTTTTGTTACAAGGACAGGTTTCTCTTCTTCCTGCTCCTCCCTAATCTCTCCTGCTCTGTAATCTCAGGGGAAACAGGATCACCTTTCTTTTTTTTTTTTTTTTTTTTAATATTTATTTTTTAGTTTTCGGCAGACACAACATCTTTGTTTGTATGTGGTGCTGAGGATCGAACCCGGGCCGCACGCATGCCAGGCGAGCGCGCTACCGCTTGAGCCACATCCCCAGCCCAGGGATCACCTTTCTTTCCCATCCTAGGCAGATTTAACTATCCTACAGCACACACCCACCACAGGAAAGAAGTAATTCAAACTTGGGGATGGCACCAGAAGATCTCAGAATTGACTATGTGCCCAATTAATAAGTGAATTATAACTCTGTCAAAGAATTCGTGGAATGTAGCTTTTGAACCACCTTAAAAAAAAAGAAGCCCTTTGCTCCCCTAGATGGGCAGAATCACAGCCTCTGGGACTAGAGTCCCCTGTGCTTCTCCTTTGCTAGTAAAGCAAGAAAACTTTTTCCTTTTTCTCAAAATCATGTTCTCATTATCGAATTGGTATTTAGGATGAGGACCAAGCTTTTGGTAATAGGTCCTACTGTCACCAGAAGAGGTCTGAGGAGTTCCCAGAGAGGGGGACCTCAACTCAGGACCACTAGGGTTCTTGACTAAAGAAATGAATTTAAGGACACATTGGTTTGAGACACAAACAAAAATTTGTTTAGGAAAGCAGAAACATTCAAGGAAGAATGCTGGTCATCTTGAGAGAGGCATTTTGGAGTTCTCAGCTCTTCCTTTAAAGGAGAGTTGGTGAGGGGTGTGTGTTGGGGTTTGACACTGGTCAGTGCCTAAAAGGCTTACTATTCCTGAAGGTGAGATAAAAAGGACTTCAAAGAATTGTGTTATGCTGGGGAAAGGGGAGGGAAACTGGCCACTGCCTCCTCTCCAGTTTATATTTTATTTTTGTACGGGAGATTTAACTCAGGGGCACTTAACCAGTGAGCCACATCCCCAACCCTTTATTTAGAAATAGTGTCTTGCTAAGTTGCTTAAGGCCTCGCTAAATGCAGAGGCTGACTTTGAACTTGCAAACCTCCTGCCTTAGCTTCTGGAGCCCCTGGGATTACAGGATGAGCCACTGCGCCTAGCTCATTTCCCATCTTGAGATAGGGATCAAAACAGAAAGGATGCTGGGCTTGGTGGCATACACCTGTAATCCCAGCAGGTTAGCGCAGAAGGCTGGGGCAGGAGTTCAAAGCTAGCCTCAGGAAAAACGAGGCGCTAAGCAACTCAGTGAGACCCTGTCTCTAAATAAAATACAAAATAGGGCTGGGGATGTGGCTCAGTGGTCTCGTTCAATCTCTGGTTACCGCCCCCACAAAAAAAGAAAAAGAAAAAACCAGAACCTTGGTTATTCTGAAATAAAGGTATGTACTCAGAGTATCTGAAGAAATCCATCTGCCCACTATGCACACAACCTCTCCTGGAGGCACAGTGTGGTTCTCCATGCTATTCCATGGCCTGCCACTGCCCAGGACTATGTGAACAATAAAATATCCGAGCCCCTCTACTGAGTCCTCCAAGTCTCTTCTTTGGGATCAGTGAACAGTATGCTGCAGCTCTTGCAGCACCGAGGTTGAACAGTGGGTATGGGAAGATGTGTGGGATGACATCAGTCTGACCATTTCAAGACAGTTTGTGCTGGCCTGGTTGTTCTCAGGGTCCTCAGGCTTGAGGTAGGATAGGTACAAAGGAGACAAACAGGAAAGTAACGAGAGACTGCAGTTTAAGTCTAAAAGCTCCACAAACACCCTCACCTTCACCTCCAAGGCTGTTCTGTTCTCTGCTGTTAGCAAGAACTTGACACAAGCAAGGCCATTTTGAAATGTATCCTCTGTCTTAGAACAAGAATCACCACAAAGTCACTCTGACTCAGCCTAACCTAAACACCACCAACACCATGCAAAGAAACCCCGAGGTCTAGCAGCACAGAGAAAGGAAACTGTTACCGGGGACTGAAATCCTGAAGACACAGTAGGTCACCCCTGGAGGACCCTTCCCTAATAATGCCCCTAGTAAATAGCCTAAGTGCAAAAATCCCCCCAATCTCTCACTCCCCTCTAGTCCAGATTGTAAGTGGAAGATGGATCTCCATCTCCTGCCCATGCCCACAGATTTGTCCCAAATAAACCTGTTACTAAGGAGCCTCCTCTCCTGTTTTCTTCATTCAGTTCTTTCTTTACATCCTCCAGGCCTGAATTCTTAAAAAGTCCAATAAATTTTAGAGTACTATAAATCCAGTTGAGTGGTTCCTATATAATTTTGTTAGTTTACAGAATGTATTTTTAGATTAATTAAAACAAGCCTAGGAAGAAGTATGGTTAAAGCCCCATAGTATGGGTATAGTCCAAGTGCTACACTAAGTAATAGGCACCTGAGGATCTGGAGACCCAGATCCCCATGAGCTCCACAGTCAAAGAAATGGAGCTCATTAGCCTGACACCACCCCTTATGTGTGTCAGGTTCACCATTTACCAGAGTTCCTTTAAAAGTATCCTGAGGCCCCCAAAAGCATCTCCCCCTCAAGTGCCCGCTCTCCCTTTCCCTGTGAGTGTGTATCCTGCTGTACCGTTAACTTTTCCAAATAAATCTCACTTTTCTAAATAAGTCTCTACACGTGCCTCTTTTGACACACCCTGAAATTCATTTCTGTGGTGTAAGTCAAGAATCTCTGCCAGGGCTGAGAAGAGCTTCAGACCTCATCCGGTGACAGGCTGACATGGTTTACATTATCTGATCTATAGATAATGTTGGAAAGTCCCTAAATTATGTTTCTTTTTTTTTTTTGTATTGGGGATTGAACTCAGGGGCCCTTTACCATTGAACTACATCCCCAGTCCTTTTTATTTTTTACTTGGATATAAGTTCTCACTAAGTTGCTTAATAACCTCACTAAATTGCTGAGGCTGGCCTCAAACTATCCATCCTCCTGTCTCAGTCTCCTGAGTTGCTTGGATTACAGGTATGAGCCAACTGAATTTGGCTTCAAAATGTTATCTTTCTACTTGTTCATGTTGAGTTGTTTAATGCATTCAAAAGCAGGAAAGGACCAGGCACGGTGGTGCACTTCTGTAAACCCAGTGGCTCAGGAGGCTGAGGCAGGAGGATGGTGAGTTCAAAGCCAGCCTCAGCAAAAGTGAGGCATTATGCAACTTAGTGAGACCGTGTCTCTAAATAAAATATAAAATAGGGATGGGGATGTGGCTTAGTGGCCGAGTGCCCCTGAGTTCAATCCCCAGTACCCATTAAAAAAAAAAAAAGGCAGAAAAGGTTTACACACTAGAATGACAGAGGGGGCCGGTTTCTTGACTATTATGCACCACTCCTCACCTAGCACGTGTGAGGCCCTGGGATTGGTCCTCAGCACCACATAAAAATAAAGGCATTGTGTCCACCTACAACTAAAAAAATATTAAAAAACAAAAAACAAACAAACAAAAAAAACAGGGGCCTAATGTTTTCTCTGATAAGTGGATGCTAATCCATAAGGGGGGGCATGGGATGAGTGGAGGAAATTTGGATGGAGCAAAGGCAGGGAGGAGGAAAAGGAGTAGAAAAGGCGGTGGAATGAGAGGGACTTTATTACCCTAGGTATGTGTATAATTGAACGAATGGTGGAATGGTGAGACTCTACTTCATACACAACCAGAGAACGGAAAAATTCTGCTCCGTTTGTGTACAATGAATGGAAGAACTTTCTACTGTCATGTATAACTGATTAAATTTTTAAAAAAACTTCTGGGTTATGTTAAATGCTAGATCACAATAGATCACAAGGAAAATAGCCTCAGTTTTAGTTTGATTTCCACTGTAAGTGCACGACCAGTAGGCTGCAGCATCCAGTAGGTGTTTTTAAGTCAATCAGTAAATGTTTGAAGCCTCTACCTTGTCCCACAAATCATTTTCGGTGCTAGGAATCAAGGGTGAAGGACAGACCTCCAGACTTGATCTGGAGGCACACACTTGTAATCCCAGCGGGTTAGAGGTTCATTCCACACTTTGGAATGAGCGAATGGATGAATGAATGAATGAATGGGAAAATGAGTACTTTGAGCCACTCATCAATAACTTCACACATGCAGAATGACAGGGTGAACACAAAGAAATCGCACATTTCTGTTAAAAAAAAAAATCCCGTGCAAGTGGTGACATCTTCAAAAGTGAGTCAGGCCTGAGACAATGGTTTTAAACGTTTCTATGATGATTTTAAAATCGTATTCAAATATTGTTAAGATTTACTGCTGTTTTGGAAAATTTTGAAGTGGAAAGTGCTCAGGTTTTGACAGTCCATGTACTAAATCCTTAAAGTAATTGACATTAAAATGAAAAAGAAAAAAAAAAAAAAAGTAAATCAGGCAAATCCGGCAGACAAAATAGGGACTCAGGGCGGGCTAGAGTCATGAACCTAGATTTAAATTATCTTTAGGTGACAGCCAGGATTTGAAAATGCACAAGTTCACGCAAGATAAAGAGGCAAATTATCATTATTATTATTTTTTTCTTTTCTTGCTTTACCGGGCTGGAATCCAGCGCAGCTGCGGGCGGCGCTGCTCGCCCCCTCGGGTGCGCGCGATTGCAGGGCTCAGCCCGGGTGGGAGAGGGGACCCGCGGGCTGCTGCTGGTGGGCGGGCCGCTGCTGGTGGGCGGGCCGGGGGAGGGTCCCCGCGCCGGAAAGCGCCCGGTGCTGGGGGCGGGCCTGGGCCTGGCCTACCTTGTCCCCGCGCTGCGTTCGGAGCCGAGACCCTGCCCGCCCCCAATCCGGCGCCACCACTAACCCGGGCCTCTCGTGGCAGCTTCACTCCCGCTAGCGCCTCATGGCCGCCAAGAAACTGGTGGTCGTTTTTGGAGCCACAGGTGAGCGAGGCACGAAGCGGGCCCCGAGCGCGCAGGGCGCGGAAGCCTAAGCGCGGCGCGGACGCGGGAGCCGGATCTGGGGCAGGGGGCGGGGGAGGGTTCCGCGCAGGGGGAGGATTGCCTTGGAGTTACCTTTTAAAATATTAGCACCGCGATCCCGGCAACTCGGGAGCCCGAGGTAGAGGACTCCAAGGTGGAGACCAGCCTGGGCACCTTAGCAAGACCCTGACTCAAAATAGAAGGGTCTGGGGGTGTAGTTCAGTGGTCCAGCACCTTAGAGCAAAGTAACAGTGATGAGGGTGATGTTCCAGGCGGGCCTGTTGGCACACTCCTGTAATCCCAGTGACTCTGGAGGCCAGGGAAGAAGGATCGCCAAGTTTGAGGACTGCCCGGGCAATTTAGTGAGATTACTTTCAAAATAAAATTAAAAATTCAGTGGCAAAGTACCCCTGGGTTCGATCCCCAGTACTTGAAAAAAAAAAATTGCTCTGGATACCAAAATTAAATTTTCCCTCCCTACTGTTCCATCAGTTACCAAGTTTCTTGAGCTTGCTTTCTAACGGTATAGGCTCGTGCAAGTAGGTATCACTTTTTCAGCTGGAAGCATTGTATTTTGCTCGTACCTGTTTTTTTTTTTTTTAATTTCATATATATTTATTTATCAAATCCCTTTTTACTTTTTTTTTTTTTCCTTTTTCGGTGCTGGGGATGGATGCCAGAACCTGGTGCATGGTAGACTAGCTTAGATCACTAAGCTACATCCCCCAACCTGAGGGATGGTTTTTATTTTCTACCTTTTGGTTGTTTTAATTTAATCAATTATTATCATTGTTTTACTGAGAATTGAATTCAGGGCACCCCCAGTTTTTCTTTTTTTTAATTTTATTTTTAGGTACCAGGGATTTAAACCAGGAATGCTTTACCATATAGCCACATCCCCAGCCCTTTTTTTGTATTTTATTTAGAGATAAGGTCTTGCTGAGTTGCTTAGGGCCTCCCTAAATTGATGAGGCTGACTGTGAACCGGCAATCCTCCTGCCTCAGCCTCCCCAGCCACTGGGATTACAGGCATGCACCACCACACCCAACTCTTTTTATTTTATTTATTTATTTATCTATTTAAAGAGAGAAAGAGAATTTTTCAATATTTATTTTTCAGTTTTCTGTAGACACAACATCTTTATTTTATTTTTTTATGTGGTGCTGAAGATCGAACCCAGCGCCCCACGCATGCCAGGCCAGCGCATTACTGCTTGAGCCACACCCCCAGCCCCTCTTTTTATTTTTGATACAGGGTTTGCTAAGTTCTCCAGGCTGGCCTCCAATTTGTAACCCTCTGCCACAGCCTTATGAATAGCTGTTGGGATTACAGCAGTGCACCACTATGCTAGGCAGTGATGTTTTATTTTTTAAACCAAAGGGTAGCTCATGACTATTGATGCATCATTTTATACAAGTGAAATATTCCATAGTTCAATTTTATCAAACTTCAGTATTTATTTATTTATTGGTGCTGGGGATTGAACCCGAGACTTTGAGCTTGCTCGGCAAGTGCTCAAAATCCATAGAGACAAGTAAATTATTAACTGGCCAAGGCTGGGGACAGAGGAATGGGGAATGATTGTTAATAAGCATGAGCTTATTTTGGGGGTGAAAAAAATGTTCTAGAATCGGATGGTGGTGATGGCTGTACAGCTCAGTGAATATACTAAACACCACTTGATAGAGGTGAATATTATAGTATTATATCTCTGTAAAGCTGTTATTTTTAATCTTTTAATGAACATCATGCATAAAAAGATTTCCTGGGTGTTTCTTGCTGTGGTAACCATTCCCTTCTGGGCTCTAATGGCAGCTCCAATGCTGTTTTGAGAACCTCCTCTCCTACTTTTTGCTCCAGAAAGCCCAGATGGGAAGAGCTATCTACTGGGGCAGGTGTGATGCTGGAGGTCTTTTTTTTTTTTTTTTTTTATATTTATTTTTTAGGTGTAGATGGACACAACACAATGCCTTTATTTTTATGTGGTGCTGAGGATCGAACCCAGGTCCCGCCCGTGCTAGGCGAGCGCTCTACCGCTGAGCCACAATCCCAGCCTGATGTGGAGGTCTTTATGAACTCTTCACAGGTGCCCAGGGGGGCTCAGTGGCCCGCACGCTTCTGGAAGATGGGATGTTCAGGGTTCGAGTGGTGACCCGGGATCCTGGGCAGAGGGCAGCAAAGGAGCTGAGGATGCAAGGTGCTGAAGTGGTAAAAGGAGATCAGAATGACGAGGCCAGCATGGAGCTGGCCCTGACTGGGGCTCATGCCACCTTCATTGTGACCAACTACTGGGAGAACTGCAGCCAGGAGAAGGAGGTCAAGCAGGTGAGGGCAGGCAGGAGGGAGACCAGGGTCAGGGCCAGGAGCAGCTCATCTTGGGAGCGCTCTATCCTAGCTGGTCCTGGGAGGCAACTCTGACTTGCCTTTCCCTTCTTCTTCATGCTGCTGTTCAAGCTTTGATGGGGGACCAACCTTCTAGCACAGGAACCCTTGGGGACCAACCTCATCCAGCCACAGCACACAGTGGACAAAAACAAATTCCCTGGTTGGCATTTGTTCTCAGTCAGTAATCCTGAGAAACCTGTGTGAGTCACTGTAATAAGTGATTATAATCCAGGTGGTTTAAAACCACAGAAATCTAGCTCACAGTTCTAGAAGCTAGAAGTCCAAAATCAGGGTGTCCTGCAGGTAACACTCCCTCCAAGGGCTGCAGGGAGAATCCTTCCTCACCTCTCCCAGCTTCCGGTGACTCCAGGCCGTCCTGGGCTTTGGGTACATCGCTCCAGTCTCTGCCTCCATCTTCACCGGCCTTCTGTCTCCTCTCTTCTTGTCATTTAGGGACTATCTGCTTAATCAAGGATGATCTCATCTCAAGATCCCTAACTGCAAAGATCTTTTCTCCAAATAAGGTCACATTCACAGTTTTCCAGGGGTGCAGACATGGGCATATCTCTTTGGAGGCCACCATTTAATCCTCTCACAACCTCATGTGGCAGGTGTCATGTTTTTCCAGTGGTTGGAATGTCTGCATCACTGGTCCTGGAGGTACAGCCAGTGTGTTGCAAGGCCTCAGTAGAGTTAGAACCTCAGCAGCTGTGCACTTAGCAGGAGCTGCAGTACCTCCGAGGTAGACCTCAGGTATCTCCAAGGAAGTGGGCTGAGTTCCATGGACAGGATGGTCAGGCCAGCAGAGATTTGATGTGGAAGTTGAGTGGGCCTCCTCACAGCCCAACCCACATTCCCTCCCTGAGCCTGGTGGGTTGCCATTGAGAACCACCTGAATGATGTGGAAAAGTGACTCCAGAGCCTGGTGGTTCAGGCCTTACAATTCTGTGTTCATGGGTGTGTGCTGGGGGTAAGCATCATTCTGGAAGAGGGGGCTTCCTCTGGGATAGATGAGCCTAGCTCTTAGCCTCACAGATGTGGCAACTCTGGGATTAGAGCTAGGGTAGAAGATTGTGGTCAGGGACATGCATCTTCCTTTTAGCTTTGTGATTTCTTCTGTCCACCAGGGAAAGCTGCTGGCTGATCTGGCCAAGCGCCTGGGCCTCTGCTACGTGGTCTACAGTGGCCTGGAGAACATCAGGAAGCTGACGGCTGGGAGGCTGGCAGCAGGCCACTTTGACGGCAAAGGGGAGGTGGAGGAGTACTTCCGAGACATTGGCGTTCCCATGACCAGTGTGCGGCTGCCCTGCTATTTTGAGAACCTCCTCTCCTACTTTTTGCCTCAGAAAGCCCCAGATGGGAAGAGCTATCTGCTGAGTAAGGGCCCCTCCCCAAGCACAGTGAAGCAAAGTTCTGACTGTGAAGCTGCAGGTGTAGAGGAAAGCAGGCTTACTGTCAAGATTGTTCTGGGTCCAAGTCTTGGCTCCCTCACATTGGGCCTGTGACTGTTCCACAGGGACAGTGAGGAAACCAACCAGGTGGTACTGATGGGTGATTTCTCCATTGGGTGATTTCTCCAAGTAATAATAACTGCAGACAGCAGCACTGTTATTATTACTTCTTCAAAGAAAGGAAAGGGGGTTGGGAGGATTGCCCACTGGTATGTCCTGATCCCCAGCATTGCAAAAAAAAAAATTTAAAAGGAAGGTTTGGATGGTAGGTTTCAGTTGTAGATTTCAGTGGGAACATCTGGTCTTTTTTGTGCCTGTTGGCCGGTCTGTAAATAGGGGCTCTGGCTTGGAAGGAACCTCAGGCAACCTACGTTCTGCCAGTTGGTGGTCAGATTAGAGCAGGATGCACTGGAGGCCAGAGTGGGAGGGGCCAGGTTCAGCTAGCCCCTCTTCACACTGAGTGTTAATGCCACTACCCTCATGTGAGGACATAGGCACTGCCAGGGAGCCTAGCCCACCTGGTAAGCAGAGTCTGGTGCCCGTAGTGGCCTGCTGTACCACCCTTTAGAGTTTGCAGAATTGTTGTGAGAAGTTCACCTTATCAAGGATTCTGAGTTGGACTCATCCCCTCAGGCTCCTGGGTGATTTGAAAAGGCACCACTTTTGCTGGCTGATGAAGGACCCAAGGGCTCCTGGCATCACACCTGGACACTGACTAGTGCTGATATGTGTAGGTGCCCAGTAGACTAACTCTGGGCTCTGACCATGCCAGCATGTCTCTTTACCCACCACCCGCCAGACTTGCCCATGGGTGACATCCCCATGGATGGTATGGCTGTGAGTGACCTGGGTCCTGTGGTGCTCAGCCTGCTGAAGATGCCAGAAGCATATATCGGGCAGAACATCGGACTCAGCACCTGCAGACACACCGCAGAGGAGTATGCCGCCCTGCTCACCAAGCACACAGGCAAGACTGTGTACCATGCCAAGGTGGGCTCCTCCCTTCTGGGGTGGGTGAGGTCCCAGGTCTTGCCAGGCAATTCCATAGCCTCAACAGGTCCTTCTAACTCTCAAAGGGGCCTTTTTGGGTCTAGGGAAGTAGTAATTAGGGCTCTCCCCACTCTGAGCGAGGCAAATCTAAATCCATTGTCATGGTTAACATGTTGTGCTGTTCCTGTGTGACCAGAATGAAATTTCTGGCTATGTGTTTTGACCAAGGATACAAATTTTCATAAAGAAAGGACAGTAGAAACCTAGGCAAGGCAGGCTAAAGACACAGGGCCCACTGGGCTTCTCTGTAGGACGTGTGTTGAAGGGGAGCAAGTGGGGAGGATAGAAAGGCCTAACCCTGTCCCTCTTGTCCTGCCTGGATGGGCAGGAGGCATTCCCATCTCCTCCTCTCCCCACTGACCCTCAGGCTTCCTGACCAGACCCTTGAGTGCCTTCTTTCTAATGTTTGTTGTTTGCATTACAGAAGACATTAAGAAAATATGGGAAACAATTTCTAGGACAAGTCACCCTCAGAACAGCAATGGGGAAGTTGGGGGCCAGGTTCCCAGACTGTTTCAACATGTGAGCTTGGGACCTGTCCTGACCCGTCTGCCTCCTTATTTGTCAAATGGATATATTATAGTTTCCACCTTGTGCTGTTGTGAGGACTAAATGAAATAATTGATGTTAGGGCTTTCTTAGCAGAATGCCTAGTGCCTAGAAAATGTATATTAAGTGGCTATGTGTTATTTGTTCATTTAGACAGTGAGACTGAAGAGCTATATTCCCAGACCTTTTATTTTGAAACAAGATCTCACTAAGTTGCTGGCCTTAAACTTGTGATCCTCCTGCCTTAGCCTCCTGCATTGTTGGGATTACAGATGTGTGCCACTGCACCCAGCACCATGTATTATTTATTTATTTATTATTTTTTTAAAAAAATATTTTTTTAGTTGCCAATGGATTTTTAACTTTGTATATGTGGTGCTGAGAATCGAACCTAGGGCCTCTCACATGCTAGCCAAGCACTCTACCACTGAGCCACAACCCCATTCCCACCATGTATTATTTTTTTAAAAAAGAGAGCAACAAAGGCCTGGGTTGGGCTGTTGGGTTGGCTGAGGAGGTAAGGTTCAGTTTGGGAGGGAAAGGAGAGTAGCTCTGGCTTTTAGGCATGGAAGTAATGTTTCAGGCTTCTCATTTGGAAGGAGCCCAAAAGCTTTCATGAGTCAAGATCTCATGATCTTGAACAGTCTTTAAACTGACTAATCAGGTAGCTTTTGAGGAACTGTGGTTTCTAAACTTCATCTCTGAAGTAGAATGTTTTCAAGTGACCATGTGTTGAGGACCCCAGTTGGTGACCAAGAGGCTAGTAGCAGCTCTGGGTGAAGCAGGTGGGACGACCTTAGCCCACCTGCTTCCCTGGTGTGTTGGAGGAGGCCAGATATAGTAGCCTCCCTCTGTTTCCAGACAACTCCTGAAGACTACGAGAGGCTTGGCTTTCCTGGGGCCCGTGACCTGGCCAACATGTTCCGTTTCTACTCTCTAAAACCTGACCGAAACATTGAGCTGACCCTGCAGCTCAACCCCAAGGCCCGGACGCTGGATCAGTGGCTGGAGCAGCACAAAGGGGACTTCACCCAGCTGTGACCTACCCACTTTGCAGCCCCAAGTCACGAGATGGGAGGCCCAAAGGCACAATAATTTCTTGTGCACAAAATATTTTTTTCAATAAAACCACTGTTTTCACAGATGGCTTCCAAAAGAAAAAGGCTTTGTTTCTGGGATTTGGTTTTGGGTGGCAGCTGCTAGGACACAAACAGCATGAAAATTCTAACAGGAAGCATCAAATGCTTGAGTTTGGGGCCCAGTCTCTGTCCCTCTGCAATAAAGGTAACCACATGGGGTCTGGCTGAAGGAATCGTGGGTAACTGAAGATGGAAATGTTAAAGTTAAGGCAAGCACCCAGCTAGGGGTGTAGCTCAGTGTTACAACGTTGCCTACCATGTCAAGATCCAGTGCTCAATCCCCAGTACCATGATAAAAACGTTTAGTTTAGTCAAAGCAGGTGTGAGATGGGCTGTGATGGAGCACGCCCAATCCCAGTAGCTGAGGCAGGAAGATTGCGAGTTCAAAGCCAGTCTCAGCAACATAAGAGAGACCATAAGAAGTTTATCAAGACCCTATCTCAAAGTAAAACAATTTCTAGACATATGTATGAGGATGTGGTTTGCAGCAGGGGGTGGGGGTGGGGAGCCCCAATCCCTTGGCTGTGGATTCCCCAGGTTACCCCTTGGCTGTAGCTGAGAAACCACTGCCCTTTCACTCTTCACTCTCTAGGCATTAAGGCTGCAGGCCATGCCCTAGACCCTTCAATACTGTTGACTTTTGTGTGTGTGTGCTGGGAATGAATCCAGGAGTGCTTTACCATTAAATTACATCCTCAGCCCTTTTTATTTTTAGAGATAGGTTCTCACCAAATTGCTTAGGGCCTGGCTAAGTTGCTAAGGCTGGCCTTGAATTTGTGATGCTCCTGCCTCAGCTTCTAGAGTTGGCAGGATTATCTGTGTGCTCCATCATGCCTGGCCAGAACTGTGGACTTTTTAATGTAAAGTTCTACGCTTTTTATTTATTTTTCTTTTTTGCAGTGCTGGGAATGGAATTCAGGGCCTTGTGCCTGCTGGGCAAGTGCTCTACTGCCACCCCCAACCTGTGCGGGCAGCTGAACTTAAGATCGCTCGCGTGAATTTGCAGGGACACCAAGTAAAACACAAACACACTTTACCTTTACACAAGCTTCAGGACGGCTTCTCTGCTCTTGGCCTCAGGCTCTCCAAAAGCGAGAGAGAGCGAGCACATTCGGAAGTGAGCTTTTATTGAGGGGACTCTTTGTTCTTAGAAAGTTCTATCTAAGAAAGGCCAGAAGGGGCAGGGTTACAAGGGACACATGAGTGTAACTCAACCCTCGTGGGTAATGCCTACATCTGAAGATGCCTTTGCTCTCAGAGCTGGGACAACGCCCAAGTCACCACAAATGTAGATTGGTCAGAGCCCCTTGCTTCAGGACTGGAAGGCATGGGTCATTCAGAGTGGCTCCCCACACTCTACCACTGAGCTACATCCCCCAGCCCTATATAAAGTGTGTGAATGACCCCCTTAAAAGAGTCACACTTAGAAGATAAGTACAGATTTGATAGTTTATTAATAAGCAGGAGTGATTGAAAATGCCTCTGTAAAGCTGTCCAGCTGCCATGGTCCATTTTCAGTGTGTTCACACTGCTGTTGGACAGGAAGGATCGTCAGTCTTGGCACAGATGGCTGGAAGATAGTTGTGCACATTCACTGAGGGGTTCCAATGATAGGGAAGGATGCAAAGGCCAGTGAGTGGAACCAACAGGGCTGACTGTGAGGAGGGCAGCTCAGGCTGGAGACCAGGGGCTTGAGTGGGAATGGGGCTGAGACCAACTGGCCTTGTCTACTCTGACTGCACCTTCCCTGTTCCTATTCTCAACCCCCAAAGGCTCAGTGACCTGGAGATAACGTTTTTGTGTGTGTTAAGGATAGAACCTGGGGTGCTTTATCACAGCCACACCCCCAGCCAGTTTTTATTTATTTTCAAACTGGGTCTTGCTAAATTGCTCAGGTTTGCTTTGAACTTCTGAATCTTCTGCCTCAGCCTCCCAAGCAGCCATTTTTGTATTTAAAATACATCTTTTTGCACCCCAGCCCAACTCAAAGGGAGCAAAGAAATCTCAAAACAAAACTAAGGAGCCACATAGAAATAAACCAACCCTAATCCTGGAAGCAGCACTTAATTCTGCAGTTGTTCCAGGGCCACTTTTCAACACCATGAGGGAAGGAGGCTTCAGCACAGCAACAATGGTGTCTCTAGCCAGAAATTCCACCTTCCTCTTTCAAAGACTCCAGACTTACGCTTTCCAAGGACAGGATGTGAATTAGGCCCAGCTGACTTCTCCAGGAACAGACCTACACTTTCTTGACACTCTGTCCAACCTATCACTGCATCCCCAGGGCTTGTGTAGTAGTCCCTAGCCCAGTGGACGTTCACAGCAGGAAGGCAAGAAACACTGTTGAATTAAATACTGGCAAGTATCCAAGTTCACCAAATCACTTTTTTTTTGTTGTTTTGTACTAGAGATTAAACTGAGGGGCACTTAACCACATCCTCAGCCTTTTTCTTTATTCTACTTAAGAGACAAATCACTGAATTGCTTAGGGCTTCACTAAGTTGCTGAGGCTGGCTTTGAACTCTTGATTCTCCTGTGAGGAGGGCAGCTCAGGCTAGAGACAGAATCAGCAGGGGCTTGAGTGGGGGTGGGGCTGAGACCATCTGGCCTTGTCTACTCTGACTGCACCTTCCCTGGCCCACCCTCCCAATATTTTAGCAAACACTAACCACTTCTGAGCCTGCCTTATATATCAGCTCTTACCCCTTCTCTACCCAGCTCAGGGAACAATCTCAACACCTTCCTGTTCAGCCTAGACCACTGGGGCGGGCATGAGCTGTGTGCCAGGACCTCCAGCTGTGCCAGGGACCAGGTGTCTGCTGAGTGCCAGACTAGTTAAATCATGATACACATTTCTCTTTTTCAGTACTAGGGTGAGCCCAAAAGGCACTCTACCACTGAGCTACCTCATAAGCACTTTTTATTTTGAGACAGGGTCTTGCTAAGTTGCTGGCCCTGAACTTGTGATTCTTTTGCAGTTACAGGTTTGAGCCACCTCTTCTGAGATAGGGTCTTGCTAAGTCATCAAGGCTAGCCTTGCAATTTCAAGACTCTTGCCTTAGCCACCTGAGTAAGCCTAAGCAGAAATTTTAGTGTTTGAAAAAACAAACAAAAACCCACCAAGACTCTTAAATCAGCCCTGTCAGTGCCCTTGATTCACTGTGTTCCGAAGGATTTGACCACACTGATGAAGCCAACTGACTCCAGTCACCCCTGCTGAGCCACATGCAGAAGGCTGTCCGAACTCAAAGAAATGACCACAATTTAGGTTTTAAATATCTTTTGCAGTAGATAATCTTATTTACATTAATACATAATCACTTTACATTCTTAAATCAGACCCTAACAAATGCTTTAATGTTGTAAATTATAAAGAGAAAAAAGGAAACTACTGAGAAGTGTTCTTCATTAACCTGCATTACGCTAGCTCTAGCTTGTGGCCCTTGAAATGCAGAAACCACAACATGCTACCAGCAGTGTCTAGGGACAGGGCGTTTGCTCTGACTGCACGGTGCGACCTTCTTGGCTGAGGTTGTGCTTTCTTCTTCAAACACATAGGAAAAGACAATGATTCTCAGCACTGAGTAATCTGAACATGCATGTAAGTGGGGAGAACCAGGCCCCTGGGCTGACATGGCCTTTTGAGGTAAGGCTTTTTGAGTTACCTCAGTGAGCCAGGTCTGCCCAGCAGAGCAACAGCTGCCATGGCTCAGGACGGCAGGAGGCCCTCCACTCCCATTGCCCAGACAGCGGGACAAATGACGAGTAGAACCTCCAGGATCCTTTGGCCTTTCAGTGTGACTGCCCAGGCCCCCAGGCCCCCAGCACCCACTTTCCAGCGGCTTGGTACCTTGAGGAATTAAAAACCAACTCCAAGAGGAGTGACTGATGTCTCTGCAGAGGCTGTTAGCGGAGGACGGTTCCTGGGGAAGCCAACCTGTCAAGAAGGACTCATTCTGGGACCTCTGGAGGTTTGCTGTGAGAGAAATTAATCACTTCACAACTTGGTACAGTTTAAGGCTTCATTTTTAAGCTGTGAGCATGGCCTTTAATTCTTTTAACTAAGATTTCCACATTTGATTCCAGATTTGAGTTTTAGTACTGCAAGAAGAGTCCAACTGCCTTATCCTGCTTGAGCCAGAAGAGGCAAGTCACCTACCCATGGACAGGAAACTTCCACTAGTCCCTGGATGCTACATTTTACTGTCCAGGGGCTGTCCACCATGGCCTTTCCTGTAGAGGTGCTGTCACATGGTTTTGCTGTTGCCAGGCAGTCCTGAGGGCTCTGTAGGCCAGGTCTCAGGGCTGCTGTTCAGGAATCCTCCCATCTCTGAGGTGCCTTGGCCACCAGAAGAGGCTGCTGCTCCTGGCCTAGTTTCCAGTGGACCGTTTTCCTAAGCCAGGGAGACAAACAGTTACATGTCAGATGCCAGAACACATCCCTGTGGAAGAGCTTTCATTCACCTTTGGGAAGTGGCTGTGCAGACAGGGTCAAAAGTCCTTAGCACCAGGGATGAGCATAAAAGTCTCTGTGTCCAGAGACACTGCAAGTGCTATGCCTACAGCAGCCCCCAGGTTTGCACAGTGCTGCACTGCCCAGGCAGGATGGGCAGCCATGAAGCAGGGGGAAAGTGGAGGAGATCTGAGTTCTAGGCCTGGCTCCACCACAAGTTGTCCTCTGTGACCATGGACAAGCTGGTCCTACCACTGTGGGACAGAGAACCCCTGGGAACTGGTGTAGGAGCATCATGAGGCAGCCTCCCCAAACACAAGCTCTCCAGTAGAGTCTGAACTGAGTTCAAACCCAAGAGGCCGGCTGCTGCAGCCTGGCTCAGCCCTGTACTGAGTGGCTGCCACACTCTGCTTCCATGGGTGGAGAGGCTGTTAGATTTACCATGCCTCCAACTGGTATCTCTTCCAGCTCTTTTGATTGGGTATGGGGTATGATGTTGGTTAAAGTGAGAGAAAACAGTGATTAGTTCATAGAGGGAAACAAAGGGAAGGAACCTCACAAGTTTTCCTACCTCGGCTGGGATATCAGGAGGTAAACATTTTCTTAAGTTTGGAAAGGAATCCCTCGTCCTCCCCAGCCTCACTCCTAGCCTTGCTTCCTGTGGAGCTATCCATGGTCCTGCCACCTGGGCACAAACAGCAGAAAGAACCGGGGTCAAGGGGTCAAGGGCACACACCTCCAGGTGTCACATCCCAGACTCCCACCTACCCACACCTGGCTACCAGGGGCCTGGCACTTGAGAAACGTCCAAGCACCACCTCTAGAAGAGTGGGGACCACTCCCAAGCTGGCAAGGGCTGTCTCAACTGGTCAAGCTACAGTTTACACACATTGTAATCTTTAGGATAAGCTTATAGGTAAATTTAGATGGGCAAAAAAACAACAGGGATACAGAGAGGGTAGGTGGTCTACCCAAGGACACAGAGCCAGCTAACAGGAAGTAGAGCTCAGTTCAAACCCAAGCTGCCTATCTCCAAAGCTTAGGCTCATAACCATCTATCCAACTGGCCAGAAGGCAAGTAATACCAAGAAAAGATCCTATTTCTAGGACTACTGAACCAGGTTCCATACTGTGCATGTATGCCAAAACACACCCCCTAGCAGTGAGGGGCCCACTGCCACACTGATCCCTCTGATGTGTACATTTCATTTCATCTATCACAACACCTGTGGGGAGTCTATGTCTCCCCAAGCAACCTCCTCACACCTAGTACCTATAACCCCTGCTGCTCTGGAGAAAAGGCAGTTGGGCTGATGTTTCTTTAGGGCCCAGGCCAGGACTCCCAAGGAGGTGCTGCAAAGATGTGTTACTTTAAGGATCTATAAGGTCTCAATAGCCCCAGTGTTCTAACTGCAGGGCATATTCTCAGTGTGCCAACAGAGTGAAAATGGTCAGTCCCCAAGAGCTTAGTCTGAATCAAACAAGGCCTTGGAATGAGAAGCCCATAGCTCAGAGTGACAGTCCCCAAGCAGGGGTAGAGCAGGGTCCCTAGGGTACAGGAAAAACAGTGGGACCAAGGATCATTCCTCTGATCTAGCATGTTCTCAAAGCTCATGTGCGTCCTCAGAGAAGGAATGGGGACCCAAGCAACACACTGAGATGTAGGCAACTGTCCAAACTACTGGGGCCACGTCCAAGTTTAAGAGCTGCACATTGAGGACCTGGCTCTGTACAGCACACAGCATGCCTCAGAAGCTGCCTTGAGGTCAAGAAGCCAAGTGAGGCCTCTCTCAGTTCTTCCCATCCCCTTCTTACAAAATGGATTCTAACACAATGTATCCACAAACCACAAGTTTTACTCCTATGCCTCCCAAGACAAGGGCAAACAGGATTTTTTAATTTTGTTAATGTCCTTGGTAAGTGAAGAGCAAATCCTGGTGTGCGATAAGAGTGTGGCAAATTATGAACTGTTGCTGATGGAGCTTCTCATATGTGCTAGGTATTATTGCAGAGGCTTTACCCACATGACCTCATTCAAACACACACAGCAACCCTGAAGTAGCTCTTAACTACTATTATCTCCTGCTTACAGATGATGAAACTGAAGTTCAGAGAGGTAATGATTTACCTAAATCTTCACAGTTACTGACAACAGAGCTGGGATATGGATTATCTGATATCCGGACTCAAGCTCTTAACTAATCAAGTGGGGCACAAAAACACTCAGCAACTGCTGTCGCCCACTTTCCTTGTCCCCTGGGTGAAAAGGATAACAGTTAGGGGACTCTTCTTAAACCAAGGAGACAGTTACATTTCTGATGCCAAAACACATCCCTGTGGGAGAGCTTTCATTAATCCCTGGAAAATGGCTATGCAGAGAAGGTCAAGAGCCCCAGCACTAGGGATGAGCACAAACATCCCTGTGTTCAGAGACACTGCAGTGTTCCAGTGCTATGCCCATAGCAGCCCCCAGGTTTGCACAGTGCTGCACTGCCCAGGCAGGATGGGCAGTGGGACAAGAAATAGCTTGTGCTCCATGGTCACAGCTGTACTTGAGCCACAGTGGTCAAGGTCTGGGAGAGCTAGAACAAGCACCTGGTTAGCTGGTTAGTGGCACAAAGAGCGCGCGCGTGCACGCGCACACACACACACATACACACAAGCCACACAACAAAAACCAAGCCAGGTATGGTGGCACATATGTGTAATCCACTGATTTAGACTGTGAGGTAGGAGGACTTCAAGTTCAAGGCCAGCCTTGGCAATTTAATGAGAACCTATAAAAAATAAAAAGGACTAGGGATATAGCTTAGTGGTAGACTGCTTGCCTGGCACTCAGGTGGCCGCAGGTTCAATTCCTCATAACAAAACAAAAAGACATGTACGCAAAGATTCTTCTCACCTTCTACTCCTGGAGTAGCACTCTCAGCTCTATTTTATTTTATTTTCTGCAGCACTTGGGGGTGAACCCAGTACATTACATATACCACTGGCCTGAACTACACCCTAGCCCCAATTCTATTTTATTTTATGTTTTTTATTTTTATTTTTTAAGAAGAGAGGAAGGAGGCAGTCACATTTGATTTAGAGCTTAAAGGTTGAGAAGGGTTTTCTTTCTTTCTTTTTTTTTTTTAAAGAGAGAGCGAGAAAGAGAATTTTTTAATATTTATTTTTCAGTTTTTGGTGGACACAACATCTTTGTTTGTACGTGGTGCTGAGGATCAAACCTGGGCCGCACGCATGCCAGGAGAGTGCACTACCACTTGAGCCACATCCCTAGCCCCCCAATTCTATTTTAAATAGGGCTCAAGGGGAAGAGGCTTCTTCAGGAATAGGATTTACTAGTGGAGAGATCAAAAGACATGAAGAACTGACTTTAGCATACAGATAATCAGGTCTGTAAATACACTACTTCCTCTCTCTCTCTGAGCCTGAGAACTAGCTGGGGTAGAAGAAGGAGTCCCTGCAGGATATCTGGGCCACTCAGGACACAAATGTGAGAGCTTTACTTCCAAAGCTTCTCTAAATAAGGTTGGTACACAATGCACTTAAAAAAATAAAAATAAAAACAAAAACAGGAACTGCACCACTGGAAGTTGGTTCTAGCTGAAAGGGCTGCACAGTGCTTCTGGCATACAACAGGATCCAGTGAAGGTCCAGGAGTCTTCCCAACACACCATTAGTGCCTCCTGGAGAAGGGTTTCTATGCTCATCTCTCCCTCAGACACTTCCCAGCCAATGGTTAGGAAAACAGATCCAGATAAACTCATCCAAAGTTATTGTGGAGTCAGGCTTGTGCCAAGCACTGGGCAAGGTGCCAGGGACACAAAGAGGAAATGAGCTGGATGAAGTGGCACACACCTGTAATCCCAGCAGCTTGGCAGGCTGAGGCAGGAGGATGGTTCAAAGCCAGCCTTAGCAATTTAGCAAGGCCCTAAATAAAAAATAAAAAGGGCTGAGGCTGTAGCTCAGTGGTTAAGTGCCTTGGGGTCCAATCCCTGGTACACACACACACACACACACAAAAAAAAAAAAAAAAAAGAAGAGAGAGAGAGACAAAGAGAGAGAGCTGGGGTTGAGGCTCAGCAGTAGAGGGCTCACCTAGCATGTGTGAGGCTTTGGGTTTGATCCTCAGCACCATATAAAAATAAATCAAAGTATTGTGTCCAACTACACTAAAAAATAAATAGTAAAAAAGAGCGAGCGAGCGAGCTAGATAAAGGTCTAACACTTATTTGTTGTAGGCAAAGTTTTTCAATGCTTGTTCTAAATTCCCCAGTTACAGAGTACACTTGATGAGGATAGGGGCCCCATCTCTTCATATATAATTTCTCAGACTGTAGTTAATGCTAAATGGACATTTTTGTGCAGGAACCAAGGCCAAAAGGACTCCAGGATCTGGTTTCTGAGAAAGGGGCCACCCCACAGTGGAGAGGGGCAACCCACCCTCACAGCCTGACTCAGCTCAGGACTGCCTCCCACTTTCTATATCTTCTCCCTCACCTTCCTCTTACTTTCACCTTGCGTAAAGGAGACATCCAGGAGCACTTTTGGCCTTGTTAGAGATAAAAAATGGTGTAGAAAATTCCAAAATCACTTGTATTGAGCTCCGGAACATGTTTCTAACTTATAGCTAAATAAATGTGTGTGTCCACAAGAATTAATTATACTCAAAACAATGAACCACATTGTGTCCCTAACTCAAAAAAATCACACAGTAACTGCAAACTACCCCACTGCCTGTGCTTTTTGCCAGATGTACCCACTGAGCACTGACAGTGCTGAGCTCCCAAATATTCTACAGTCTTCTGGCTTCATAGGCTGAAAGAGAGACTAGAGTCTGATAGCATTAGGACACAAAAATAACCAAGAGATATTAAATTTGTTAAAATCTTTAGGCTGAAAGTGTGGCTCAGTGGCAGAACATGTGCTTGGCATACACAAGACCCTGGTTCCACCACTAGCACCAAAACAAAAACAACAAAACAACTTTAGGCTGTTTTATGTAGACCTAAAGCCTAGACACTTCCACCGGACTTCTATATACCCTTTTCCTGTGATGAAAGCAAGTCTTCAAAGACACTCAGGAATTGATCTGTATCTGCAAACATTGATCTGTACCTACAACATCTCTCACTAGGCTTTCTAATGATGCTCCAAATCACGAGTACATAGAAAGTTCTGTGTGTGTGTGTGTGTGTGTGTGTGTGTGTAGTGGGGATACATGCTCACATGTTAGGCTATACCCTCAAAGGGCTATTAAAAAGTGACATTAGGGGCTGGGGTTGTGCTTGCCAATATTAAAAAAAAAGTGACATGAAGACTGGAAATATGGCTCAGTGGTAGAGTGTTTATATAACATGTATGAGGCACTGGGTTCTATCAGTAGCACTCTAGTACCTTTATCCCACAAACCATTACTAAGCGAATGCAAACTGCTTATGGTACAACTTTAGTTTTATTGAATGCTTGACCCAGTCTAATTAAATAAATAAAGCCTGTTATTAGTGCAGTTGCTCAGAAATGGGTATTATATGAACTATAATGTTTTCATACGTAGATTGCAGAAGTAACTTTTTTCATGATCTAACGAGAGGCCTACCCACAAACAGGTAGCAAACCGACAGCATATTCTCTCTCTCTTTTGAGTTGTAGATGGACAGAATGCCTTTATGTTATGTTCATTTCTATGTGGTGCTAAGGATTGAATCCAGTGCCTCATGCATGCTAGGCAAGCGCTCTACAACCCTGGTCCCCTCAGTCCCTTTTTATCTTCTTTTTGAGAGAGGGTCTTGCTACATCTCCTATGCTGGCTTCAAACCTGTGAACCTCCTTCCTCAGCCTTCCAAGCAGCTAGAATTATAAGTGTGCACCATCACACCCAGGTCCAACTCTGAATTCTTTTTGTTGGGGGTACCAGGGATTGAACTCAGGGGTACTTGACCACTGAGCTACATCCCCTATTTTGTATTTTATTTGGAGACAAGGTCTCACTGAGTTGCTTAGCACCTCACTTTTGATGAGGCTGGCTTTGAACTTTGTGATCCTCCTTCCTCAACCTTCCAAGCTGCTGGGATTATAGGAGTGTGGGAGTGTGCCACCACACCTGGCCCAACTCTAGATCCTTTTTTTTTTTTTTTTAAACAAGAAATTAAACAATCGATCAATAAATATATGAAAAAATGTTCAGCGGCTGGGCTTGTGGCTCAGTGGTAGCATGCTCGCCTAGCATGCATGAGGCACTGGGTTCAATCCTCAGCACCACATAAAAATAAAGACAATACAGTCCATCAACAACTAAAAAAAATATAAAAAAAAAAAAAAAAGAAAGGAAAGAAAAAATGTTCAGCATCTATAGTGATTACAGAAATGCAAATCAAAACTAACCTAAGATTTCATCTCACCCTAGTCAGAATGGCAATTATCAAGAATACAAACAACAATAAACGTTGGCAAAGATGTGGGAAAAAAGGTACATTCATACATTGTTGGTGGGACTGCAAATTGGTACAACTATTCTGTCTGGAAAGCAGTATGGAGATTTCTTGGAAAACTTGGAATGGAACCACCATTTGACCCAGTTATCCCACTCCTCAGTCTATATCCAAAGGATTTAAAATCAGCAAACTACAGTGATGCTGCCACAATAATGTTTACAGCAGCTTGATTCACAGTAGCAAAACTGTGGAACCAACCTAGATGCCTTTCAATAGATGAAGGATAAAGAAACTGTAATGTATATACACAATGGAATATTACTCAGCATTAAAGAGAATAAAATTGGCATTTGCAGGTAAATGGATGGAGTTGGAGAATATCATGCTAATAAGTGAAGTAAGTCAATCCCAAAAAACCAAAGGCCAAATGTTTTCTCTGATGAGCTGATGCTGATCCATAATGGGGGATGGGGGACATGGGAAGAATGGAGAAACTTTGGATAGGGCGGAGGGGAGAGGGCATGGGGGTAGGAAAGATGGTGGAATGAGATGGACATCATTACCCTGGCATATGTACGATTGCACAAAATGGTATGACTCTACATCATGTACAACCAGAGAAATAAAAAGTTTTGCTCCATCTGTGTACAATGAATCGAAACACATTCTACTGTCATGTATAAAAAAACAAATAAAATAAAACCTAAAAAAAGTCCCAAAAATTATTTTTAGTTGTCAATGGACTTTTTTTATTTATATGCATTGCTAAGAATTGAATCCAGCCTCACACATGCAAGTCAAGTGCTCTACCACTGAGCTACAAGCCCAGCCCCAATTCTAAATTCTTAAATGCCTTTTGCAAAATTATGGCTGGGAGCCAAAGTTTCCATTGGAATGCATCTCTGAAAATGACAATAGAAGTGAATAGAAAGAGTCTGTCATCCCAGCAGCTCAGGAGGCTGAGACAGAAGGATCATGAGTTCAAAGCCAGCCTCAGCAAAAGCAAGGTGCTAAGCAACTCAGTGAGACCTTGTCTCTAAATAAAATACAAAATAGGGCTACGGTTGTAGTTCATTGGGCAAGTGCTCCAATTTCAATCCCTGGTACTCTCCCCTAAAAAAAGAAGTGAGTAGAAATAAATATAATTTGGTATACCCATTTCACTTTTTTTTTTTTTTTAAATATTTATTTTTCAGTTTTCGGCGGACACAACATCTTTGTTTGTATGTGGTGCTGAGGATCGAACCCGAGCCGCACGCATGCCAGGCAAGCACGCTACGGCTTGAGCCACATCCCCAGCCCCCCCATTTCACTTTATAAGCAACTTTTCAGAGGTTAAACAAAACTCAGCAAAATTAATGTCATCGAGGGCTGGGGTTGTAGCTCAGTGGTAGAGCGCTTGCCTTGCACGGTGAGACATTGGGTTTGATTCTTAGCACCACAAAAAAATAAATAAATAAAGGTATTGTGTCCATCTACAACTGGAAGAAAAAAAAAAAAAAAAGAATCTCAAAAAGAAGAGCTGACATCTGTCACACAGGAGGCTCCAAATAAATCCTGGTAGAATGAGGGAACTGGCCATCAGGGCTAGGAACCACAAAAATAACGAAGTTTCCAAGGACACTCACAAACAAACTACATAATCAACTCTCAAGCTATCAGGGGAGATTTAAAACAAGTGGGAGCCACTAAATTCCAAATAATTTTTTTCCTTTCTTTTTAGTCCTGGGGATTGAATCCAGGGTTATTTTATCACTGAGCTACATCCCCAGCCCTTGTTTTTTTTTATTTTGAGACAGGGTTTTACTAAGCTGCTAAGGCTGGTCTTGAACTTGCAATTCTCCTACTTCACCTTCCTGAGTAGCTGGGATTACAAGGATGTGTCATTGCTCCTAGCTTAATACCCAACATTGTAACATGGTAAAACACCAATACCACCAAGGCCATACCTAGCCAACAGTGAGGCCTCTTGTTGGCAGGAGAGAAGGAGGACAACTGGGTACAGAACAAATGTCACATACCACAAAACTACAGGAACATGTAGGTTTAAGGAAGAAGCCAGAGGTGCATACCAGAGTTTTGTAGAATAACCAGTCCCACGTTTTTATTAGTTCAGGAAATATAACAAGCCAGGCACAGTGGTACATGCTTATAATACCTGCTACTCAGTAGGCTGAAGCAATTTAGTGAAACCCTGTCTAAAAAAAAACGGAAAAAAAAAAAAAAAGGCTGGGGACCTAGCTTAGTGCTTGCCTAGCCCAACCCTCCACTTCACTGGTAAATCTGCTCCCAGCTCTGAACATCTGCTCTAAGACCATTTGAGTTCTGGGAACTCCATCCAGGATCCAGACAAAAACTGATGCAATGAGGAAGAAACATGCATAGTCTGAGCCACTGACCTTATGGGCACGGCCTATCCTGACATGACCTGGGTCCCAATCAATCAAGGTCCCCAACCCCCATAAGAAGAGGGACAGCAGCTGTGGGTGCCATTGTTGAAGCTCTGACTGGCAAATATGCTCTCTCTCTTTTTTAATACTTTGTATAATGAACTATATTTAAACAATATAATGACATGGTTACATTACTCATACATACAGCCACATACGCAAAAGATTAAATAAACCAAATCTGCAAAGAAGTTTCAGTTTACTTGAATTAAGTTGGATTGAGATCATTTGTGACACTAATTTGAAACATTCCTGTTTGTACTGATTTCTAATCTCATTTCTATAAAAAATCTGAACTTTTTTTCTTTGTAATAGCATCAAATATGCTCTCTTAAACCACCAACATTCAACAAAACTGCCAATGGCAGGATCTCTGCATTCAGTGTGACATATTTATTCCCTGCCAAATGAATTCAAAGTTACCCTGCTCTAAAAGAAAGACTGAACTCCGACTTCAGTTTTTCCTGCCCTGTGGTTACTGTTGTTTATAAGACATTCTGGAATCCGGGTGAAGTGTTCTAGCCCAGAAAAGCACAAATCTGTTCTATTTGTCTTTTTATTTTACTTTTTTTTTTAATAAGCACTCTACTACCAAAGTATATTCTTAGCCCTGATCTGTAATCTTTTTTTTTTTTTTTAATATTTTATTTACATTTTAGTTTTCGGCAGATACAACATCTTTGTTTGTATGTGGTGCTAAGGATCGAACCCAGGCCGCACGCATGCCAGGGAGCGCTACCGCTTGAGCCACATCCCCAGCCCCTTTATTTTACTTTTTGGGTGCTAGGGTTTGAACCCAGGGGCACTTTATCACTAAGTTGCATCCCATCCCCTTTAAAAAAATTTTAAAAATTTTACTGATGCTTTAACCCAAGAGTACTTTACCACTGAATTACATCTCCAGCCCTTTTCATTTTTATTTTTTATTTTGAGGCAGGGTCTTAGTTGCCCAGGCTGACCTGGAACTTTTGATCCTCATGCCTTAGCTTCCATAATGGCTGGAATGATAGGTGGTGTGCACCACCTTGCCTGGCTCATCTGTTCCTTAACACTGTTGTGAGAAACTTTCATGGAAGGATGTGCCCAAGGTCACAAGACAAGTGGCAGAACCAATCCTAGAACTCAGAATACCAGCTCTGAGACACACAGAGCTGCCTGGGACAGGAAACACTCCAGTGCTGTCCTCAGCACACAAACACAGAGAAAGGAAGAGGCCACAAGTCCGCTCCAGCGATGTCTACCCACAGCTCCCCTTTTTCAACAGAGCTTTTTAGGGGCTTCATGAAGACCCAAGTGGAAACCCAAACATGCTGCCTATCCAACCGCTAAGGGATTCAGAGGCCCCCTCATGTCTGCACCTCCAGACTCCTTACCAGTGCTTGTGTGGGTGACACCATTTACTGTCCCCTCCACATCTGTCTCGTCCTCAGCATAGCTCAAGATGAGGCTCTGCTGCCGGCTCGTCAACCTCCTGTGGACCAAGCACAGTAAACCTCTCTTAGGACACACATGCAGCCACATTCCCTCACAGCATATAAGAAACGTGGGACCCAGACCCAAACCGGACACCTGAGCTAGTGATGAGATCCTGGCTCCTATGAAGCTCAAAGCTCTTACAAAGAAGAGCTCCTAAAATACCCTAAGTTCTTTAAATAACTGTCACTGCAGCTATGACAGACACAATTTGCTAGGGGCAAAGAAGGGCTTATAAGTGTGTGTATGAAACAGGTAAGAGATTATCTAATTCATCTCAGAAAAAAAGAATGAGGGTCAGAAGAGCAGATGGGCACACCCTGCCCTGGATGCCCACAGCAATACAGCAAGTGCTAAGCATCTCTTATGTGTCATTCGACAAGGTGGACTCATTACATCCAATTTGCAGATGGGGAAAGTGGGGTTGGACACATCTGACTTCATGGAGACATGACCAATAAGCCAAAAGCATATGGGGCATCTGAGCTGCTGGGGCAGGACCTGGCAGGTGAAAGGCTCAGCAGGCACCTGCTTGGTAGATGAGTGATGGACAAGCGTGGGGCTGGTAGGTGGGGCTGGTAGGTGGCTATGGTCTATTTAGGGTGCTTACTTTGGAACTCGGATCTTGACATGAATGTAGTGGTCACCATAGCCATAGCTATTAATCCGGGGGATTCCTTTCCCAGTCATGCGAATCTTCTGGTCTGTCTGAATCCCAGGGGGAATCTACAGAGAAAAGAAAGTGGTGGTGCTCCCTGGTTCCTGCTGTCCCAAAGTAAACCTTTTCACTACACAAAGGCCATCTTGAAAGGACTCCTTGCACTTGGGTTACTGGAGCAAGCCTGTGATCACCCAGAAACTGGCTGAACTGGGTCCATGAGGCATAGCCTACAACCAGGACTTGGGGGCAGTTCTGGGTGGTAAGCAAGAGTGAGTGTGAGACCTGGGAAGAGAAAAAGCCAACACAGGATGCAAGGCTGGGTTTATACTCCCTGGCCCTCTATGAGCTGGATGCCAATGGACACTATCTCCATGGGCAAGTCACTCCAAAGTCCCCCACACCCAGAGATTAAAGAAGGTCCTAGGTAAATAAAGACAATAGTGGGACCTGGAGGAAGGGGTAAGGGGTGTGGGTGAGCATAGGAAGCTACCATTATATGTGTGACTGAAATCAGAAGTGGCCAAGGAGAAGAAATGTAGCCCAAGAGGCATTTGCTCTTGTTGCCAGATATTGAAGGAAACAGCAAAGAGCACCTACTGCAATGATACACTTCTTTTTCAATATTTTTTTGTCAATGGACCTTTTTTTGTCAATGGTGCTGAGAATCAAACCCAGTGCCTTATGCCACATGCTAGGCAAGCACTCTACTACTGAGCCTCAACCCCAGCCCACAATGATACACTTCTGCATCATAGGTGCACTCAGTTCCTGAGACCCACTGAACAACAGAGAAGGGGAAGCCAGCCAGAACCTGCTCTCCAGAGTTATCCAGTCACTGCCTGGCCTGTGACTCTCACTCAAGGAACAGCCCAAAGCTCCTAGTGCCCATCTCCAAACCAGAATCCACAATATGCCGGAGGATCACAGGTATCAGGATGCATATCAACCATTTCCCAATTCAGAATAAAGAGCAAAAAAATACCAGATGGCAAAGACATCTCTGTATCATCTTACCGTCACATTGATTGTCTCATATAGGCCCTGGGCTCTGGCAGTCCCCCCAAGAATAGCTTGAGCTATAGAAATAAAGAGGTCGGAGTGGATGTCTGCGCCGTCCCTCCGGAACACAGGGCTCTTCTGCACCTAAGGCCAAACACAAGATGAGGTGACCACTGAAGAAGTCCTGCCGGAGGCTAGACATCAGCACATGTGTCACAGACCCTGCACTTACAGCACAATATCAAGAGAAAGAACTGCACTCAACAAACGCTGCAGACCCCAACCTCCACAATCACACATGGTGGGGGAACATCTGAACTTCCTTAGTCCATTGTTTCATTGTGAAGGGAAATAAGAACATGAGGTTGGCTTTTTTTAAACTTCATTTTATACATTTATTAGTTTATTTATTTATTTAATGTGATGCTGAGGATTGAACCCAGGGCCTCACACATGCTAGACAAGTGCTCTACTACTGAGACACAACCCCAGCCCATGAGGTTGCTTTTTGAACATTTTTTAAAATGGTATGGAGAAACACAGACTAATACATCTGCAAAGGTGAAAATAACTTGATAAATGCTGCCTCTGAGACAGACTGGCAGCACTAGAGTTGATTCCATTTTATAAATACCATCTCGCATCTCAAAGATATCCTCTGCCATCAATAGTGTCTTTTTTTTTTTTTTTTTAGCTTGCAGCACTGGGCATTGAACACCAGGTCGCTCTACCACTGACTACATCCCAGCCCTTTTTATTTTTTATTCTAAGATAGGTTTCCCTAAGTTGCTGGGCTGGCCTCAAACTTGTGATCCTCCCACCTTTGCCTCCCAGGTATGTGCCTGGGATATCAGGTATGTGCCACCACACCTGGCAATGATTCCTTATTCTCTTCTTTCCCTCTATTAGTAGATAGGAATACAAGCTGAATTCTATACCAAACTTTTTTTTTGTACACACTGGCTTCCAGCTTTCTGCCTTCATCTTTGATTTCATAGTCTAAAAGATTTACCCTTTACATTATTTTTACTTGTTTTTCTTTTCTGTGGTGCTGAAGATTAAACCTAGGGCTTTGCATATGCTAGTGTGCTTTTATTGTTGTTTTTTTGCGTGAGTACCGGGGATTGAACTCAGGGGCACTTGACCACCCAGCCACATCCTTAGACCTGTGTTCTCTATTTTATTTAGAGACAGGGTCTCATTGAATTGCTTTGTGCCTTGCTTTTGCAAAGGCTGGCTTTGAAATCGCAATCTTCCTGCCTCAGCCTCCCAAGCTGCTAGGATTACAGGCACGCATCACCAGGCCCAGCCTGTTTTTTTTTTGCTGCTGGGGATTGAACCCAGGGCCTTGTGCATGGAGGCAAATACTCTACCAACTGAGCTACATCCCCTGTCCTTTTTTATTTCACTTGTTTATTTTTATTTTTTTTTAATGTGGTGCTGAGGATCGAACCCAGGGTCTCGCACGTTCGAAGCAGGCGCTCTACCGCTGAGCCACAATCCCAGCACCCCCAGTCCCTTTTTTTTGAGACAGAGTCTCACCATGTTGCCAGGCTGGCCCCAAACACTCAGCCTTAAGCAATCCTTCTGCCCTGTCCTACTTCAATAGCTGGCAATATAGGCATGCAGCACCATGCCTGACTGCCTTTGTTTTAAATTATGAAATACAACTAGAAAAAGGAAAAACAAATAATACAGCAAACACAGTGCACCCACAACCTGGCTCTGAGAACAAAACATGACAAATGAAATCAAATAGTCGCTGCTCCTCAGTAAACCAATAACCCAATTTGGAACTGCCATTCCAGCCAGCAGGCATTTACTTCTGCTGTGCATTTCCATGTCCTAAATAAATATAATCTGTCTTGTCTTGAAAACTCTATATCCTGTGTTCCCCAGGCTATTGGGACCTGCTTCCCTGTCATGGGTAACGAGGCATCTTATGGTCACTTGTGACTCTCATTCTCTCCTCTGGAGGGCTCTGTAGTATCTCTGTGACATAGCAGGGTGCAGTGTCCATTCTCTGATTTATTTGTTTTTATGTGGTTCCGGGGATTGAACCCAGTGCCTCATGCATGCCAGGCAACTGCTTTACCACTGAGCCATAATCCCGGCCCCCATTTGTATTTCTTCTTTTGAGAAGTGTCTGTTTAATTCATCGACAACTTAAAAAATTTAAAAAAAAAGGGAGGGGGGGGCTGGAGTTGTGGCTCAGTGGTTGAGCGCTTGCTTCACATGCGTGAGGCACTGGGTTCGAACCTCAGCACCACATAAAATAAGTAAGTAAGTAAGTAAATAAATGGATGAATGAGAAAAGATTAAAAAAAAGAAAAGAAAGAAAAAACCATACCTTACTAAGGTCAGTGGCGCATGCCTGTAATCCTAGCAACTGGGGAGGCTGAGGCACAGAATTGCAAGTACAGACTCAGCAACTTAGCAAGACCCTATGCAACTTAGAGAGAACCTGTCTCAAAATAAAAATTAAAAAGGGTTGGGAATTTATCTCAGTAAATAGTATCCTTGAGTTCAATATCTAGTACTAATAAATAAATAGATAGACACGATAGATGGCTTTTGCCATTCCTATCAAATATGATATGTGAATAAAAACACATGGTGGGCTGGGGTTGTGGCTCAGTGGTAGAGTACTTGCCTAGCAAGTGAGAGGCACTGGGATAGATCCTCAACACAATATCTAAAGATATTGTGTTAAAAAAAAAAAACACATGGAGGTGGTCTATTTTTTTTTTGTTTTATGTTTCTAACTTTTAAACTCCATGAGGAAGTTTTATTCTCTTCACACTAAGCACAAAACCTGAAGAGCAAGACAGTTAATAACCATGTTGATGTGGCCCTTCTTCCCTTTAGAAATACAACAGCAAATGCCAGGTGCAGTGGCACACACCTGTAATTCCTGTGACTCGGGAGGTTGAGGCAAGAGGATCGTGAGTTCAAAGCCAGCCTCAGCAACTTCATGAGGCCCTAAGATACTCTGCAAGACCCTGTCTTTAGTAAAATATTAAAAAGTGCTGGGGATGGGGCTTAGTGGCTAAGCATCCCTGGGTTCAATCTTTGGTATCAAAAAAAAAAAGGAAAAAAGAAAAGAAAAGAAACACAACAGCAAGTCAAACACAGTGGCACACACCTATAATTCCAGCTACTCGGGAGGCTAAGGCAGGAGAAGCACACGTTTGAAGTTAACCTGGGCAACATAGCAAGACTGCCTCAAAATAAAAGGACTAGGGGTTGTAGCTCAGTGGTTGAGTACTTGCATACCATGTACAAGGCTGCAGGATTGAACCCAAGTACTATAAAAAGAAAAAAAAAAATGCAACAGCAAGAGATATGCCACAAAGCTCCTACCTCATGCCAACAAGTAGCTTTTTACACCTGTAGCTACAGAGCAGAGTCCTAACAGAGGCTGTGCAGGCCAGCACCTACCCTGAATGTGACAAAAATTTCTCGTTTTCCCACAGGCATCCTCACAGTTTGGCCATCCTCGACTCCTAGAACAAATTTCCAAAGAGAACAGTTATGGTGGAACACCCCATAGCACTTCCCAACCAAGATCCAATGATTAGCCATAGGCTTCCTTGCTCATTCCTGTTTCTTGTTAATGCTGGTCTCAACTAAAGACAGGGGACAGCAGAGAGAAAATGGTGGGATGGGAGTTGCTCTCCTACCAGGTGGGAACAGAACAAGCACATTTCAAGGATAAGTGAGTCAAGGGGAAATAGTCTAGGAGATTCTAGTTCCTTCTCCAGCCTGGAGCCCTAAAGCCCTCCAGCTTCTGGCAATAGTCAAACACACAGGGCACAGTGGCTTTTGCCCTTTCCTGGGCATGGGGGGCCTGGGTACCTACCTGCAGGCACAGGGATCACTACTCGCTTTTTCTGCTTGGCTTGTCCTGCTCCTCTGCAGATCACACAGGGAGTTGTGATGATGGAGCCCCTGCCACCACATCTCCGACAGGTGGAACGCATCACAAAAGGGCCTGTATTGATGGTTTCCTGACAAAAAGGAGAGGGAAAATTGTATTTTTGGGGGGGGGGGGGGGGGGGAGATAATGGGGATTAAACTCAGGGTAACTCGACCATTGAACCAAATCCACAGACCTATTTTGTATTTTATTTAGAGACAGGGTGTCACTGAGTTGCTTAGTGCCTCACTTTCTGAGGCTGTCTTTGAACTTGTGATCCACCTGTCTCAGCCTCCTAAGCCACTGGGATTACAGGTATGTGCTATCACAACAAAAATGGTACCCTTAAATATGCAAGCAAACTGATGCATGAGAAAAACGTTTGACTAAAGGCTTCTTCTTTGTGTATTCATGTGCCCTAAAACACACTGCCTAAGAAAACAGACATGGGGGCTCACTGCCAGCCTGATTTTCTAGAACACTGACTTCTGAACTCTTGAATACTGATATGTTGATGTGATCTAAATAATGAGATACTTGCTTCTTTCTATCTGAACCCCTAAAGCTCAGCAACACATTTAAATATATTATTTCCCCACTAGTTACACTACCTTTGAGCTATATCCCCAGCTCCAGGAACTCTGTAAATATTGAATGTCTGTTAATAGGAATGCTTTCCACATGGTATGGGTTAACAATTCTAAAACTACTTTAGTGCTATAAAATTGAAGAATTTTTAAAAAAATGAATATTTATAAAAATAAAATAAAATATAGTCCTAGGGAATAAATCCAGGGGCACTCCACCACTGAGCTATAACCCCCTGTTCTTTTTTTTTCTTTGAGACAAAGTCTCACTGAGTTTCTCAAACTTTCATTCCTCTTGCATCAGCCTCCTGAGTTGCTGGGATTAAAGGGCTGCACCACCTTGCCCAACAAGGAAAACATATTGAGGATAATAGCAGCTAGATATCTGTTACAGAAAAAAAGGTGAAACTATCACTTGAACTCTTGGTTTTTGACAGATGTCAATGCATGCATGTGTGTACACATATATCTATACATGTGAACAGATGTATATACGTATCTACAAGTGACACACACATTGATTTCCTAGCTCAGTCAGCTGAGAAAGTTTAGAAGTAGTGTCACTCCAGGGGCCACGAGCATAAGGGGGATACAGACGTTGGTTTTCATGTCCCACTAGACACTAACAGGTACCACAGCTACAGGTAATACCTGACTCAAAGGGTGTAGCAGGGAGAGAACAAGTTCAGCCTGGAATACTCTGCCATGTGGAAGGTAAGGAAGTGCTGAAAGTATGGTTGGAACAAGTCAAAAGGACACAACAGTCAGATGGAAGGGACCTGGTATAGGCCAAGTTAGGGATAAGCTGAACAGCAAAGAAACTACTGATTATAACACAGTGAATAAAATAAGCATCCCTGACTTCATACTGATATAAACAAACAGGTAACTGGAAGAGAAGAAGTTCTTCCATCCAGTAGAATGCAGACAGGTTAACTGAATTAGAAAACTTGTCATTTAGCAACCATGATAGTCATGTGTGATTGAGAATGATCAAGGGATGCAAAAACCAATGGGTAAGTTTGATGAGGAATATGATACTTATAGTCTCAGGGTACTTCATCATAACATTTATTAATTTCAAAAGAAAGAATAGTAACTTTAAAGTAAAGAACCTGATAAACACTATTTTAACAAAGTAATCATGAACATGTGTAATGTCATTAGTATGAGACAAACTGACACCTAAAACTACTCATATGATCCACTGAAAAGGATAAATTGCCTCTGTGGGGTTTCTACCCAAAGCAATCTGAATCTTTTTTTTTTTTTCTTAAATATATTTTTTTAGGGGTTGGGGATGTGGCTCAAGCGGTAGCTTGCTCACCTGGCATGCCTGAGGCCCGGAGTTCGATCCTCAGCACCACATACAAACAAAGATGTTTGTCCACTGAAAACTAAAATAAATCTCTCTCTCTAAAAATAAATAAATAAAAAAAGAAAAAGCTGCTTTAAAAAAAAATATATATTTTTTTAGGGCTGGAGATGTGGCTCAAGCGGTAGCGTGCTCGCCTGGCATGCGTGCGCCCCGGGTTCAATCCTCAGCACCACATACCAACAAAGATGTTGTGTCCGCCAAAAACTAACTAAATAAATAAATATTTAAAAAATACATATATATTTTTTTAGTTGTAGATGAACAGGATACCTTTATTTAATTTACTTATTTTTATGTGGTGCTGAGGATGGAATCCAGTGCCTCACACATGCTAGGCAAGTGCTCTACCACTGAGCCACAAACCCCAGCCCCACAATCTGAATCTTATCAAGAATCCAAATCAAAGGACATTCTATTAAACAACTGGCTTATAATCTTCAAAAAAGTCAAGGTCAAAGAAAAAAAGAGCAGACTGAGAAATAGTTCCAGATTAGAGACTAAAGATATGATAATCAAATGCTACAGACATAAGGACACCTGCAAAAACTTGAAAACATACAGATAATGATATGGTATTAACATGAAGTTACCTGATTGAGAAAACTGTACTGTGGTTATGTAAGAGAATGTTTTTGTTAAGAACACACCATACATACTGAAATACTACACTTAAATACTTAGGAATCAAGAGATACAATGTCTTTCAGCCAGCCCAGTGAGTCAGCACAGGCCAGTAACCCCAGCATCTGAGGAGGCTGAGGCAGAAGGATCACAAACTGAAAGCCAGCCTCAGCAACTTAGTGAGAGCCTAGGCAACTTAGCAAGACTCTGTCTCAAAATAAAAAGGGGCTAGGGATGTGGCTCAGTAGTAAGGCCCCCAGGTTCAATCCCCAGGCCCCTCCCCCCAAAAGAGAGAAAAATACGCCTCATTTTCAAATAGTCTTCGGGTAGGGCAGTGACAGAGACACACCCAAAGAATGAAAAGGAACACATCAGAAGTGAAAAAGCAAATGTTTAACACAGGTGAGCCAGGCTAGGTGGTGCAGCCCCGTAATCCCAGTGACTCTGGAGGCTTAAGCAGGAGGATCACAAGTTCAAGGCCAGCCTCAGCAACTTAGTGAGGCCCTAAGCAACTTAGTGAGACCCTGTCTCAAAATAAAAAATTAAAAAAGGGCAGGATACAGCACAGTGTTAGAGTAGTAGACCTGAGTTCAATCCCCAAAACAAAAACAACAACAAACAAACAAACAGGGTGAATGAGCAAAAGGTGGGAGACCATGCGGTCGGTGTGTGTGGGGGGTCCTCTCAGACATCTTACCATGCCAGAGCCGCCGCAGTAGTGACAATGCTGCACCTTGGTGCCGGGCTCATTCCCTTTTCCGTCGCAGCGCTCACAGGTGTCCATGATGTTCACAGTGAACTCCTTGTTGACACCCTTGGCAGCTTGATTGAAGGTTAACTCCATGATGTACTAAAGAAATCGAGGCATGACCTGTTAATGCTCTGCTTCCCAATGACCAAAGTGATGCTCTGCTATAGGAGGACACGAGGCCACTGGTCAGTACTTGTGTTACACTTTAACTGCTATGCTTACACTTGTATACTGCCAGGTAAGAACAGGTAGGAATCACTCATCAGATCCTTCCCAAGGCCTTAGGATTTTTAAGTATGTCTTAATTTAAGTGAAAATACACTTTTCAACAAACTGAAAATGTTCACAGAAAATAATTACGACAGTTTGCATCTCGAATATTCCCCAAAGGCCCTTATGCTAAAGCCCTGGTCTCTAAGCTGGCACTACTGAGAGGTGGTATAACCTTTAAGAGGTATGGAGATTTTAGATCAGCGGGGCACGCCGTCAAAGGAAAGGCAGGCCACAGGTCTCTTCCTCTTTTTTTCCCCAGGAAACATGAGGTGAACAATTTTGCTCTACCATGCACTCTCTACCATAATATGCTGCCTCACCACAGCCCAAAAACAATAGGGCCAACTGTCCATAGGCTGAAATCTTTGAAAACATGAACCAAAATAAACCTTTCCTTTTTTTAAAATTTATTGTCTCAGGTATTTTGTAACAGTAATGGAGAGCTGACTAACAGCACTTAAAAAAAGATGAAATAATATATAATCATAACTTAGATCATGAAACATTTCTCTTACGTCTTCAATTGTAACAATTAAGACATAAATATGAAAAGGAGACACAGCAGTCTCCTTTGTGAACTGAGCTCCCTTAGAATAATGTGGCAGACTCCACATAAAACACACCCAAATGATGGCCCCTGATGGTCTTAGGTGCTGCCTAATTAAGCAATTGTTGAGAATATAGTAAAAATAATCAGGCATAGTGGTACATGCCTATAATTCCAGCCTCTCAGGAATGTTAGGCAGGAGGATTATAAACTCAAACCCAGCCTCAGGAATTTAGCATGACCCTATGTCAAGCTAGGCACAGTGGCATACGCCTGTAATCCCAACTACTAAGGAGGTTGACAGGAGGACTGCAAATTTGGGGTCAGCCTCAGCAACATGGCGAGGCCCTAAGCAACTTAGCCCCATCTTAAAATAAAAAATAAAAAGGTCCAGAGATGCAACTCAATGGAAGAGAGCCCCTGGGTTCAATTCCCAGTATAAAAAATATATTAATACAAGCCAGGGTTGTGGCTCAGCAGTAAGAGCGCTTGCCAAGCATGCGTGAGGCACTGGGTTCGATCCCAGGACCACATAAAAATAAACAAAATGAAGGTATTATGTCCATCTACAACAACAACAACAAAATATTAAAATACATACATACATACACTAAATAAATAGATAGCTGGGCATGGTGGCACACACTTGTATTCCCAGCTGCTAGGGAGGCTGAGGCAGGATGATCATGAGTTCAAAACCAGCTTAGCAACTTAGTGAGCCCCTGAGCAACTAAGTGAAACCCTATCTCAAAATAAAAAGTAAAAATGGGGATGTGGCTCAGTGGTAAAGCACCCCTGTGCTCAGTTGCTGGAACAAAAAAAAAAAAAAAAATTGATTTAGATTAAATAATATATAAATAAAAAAAAAAAAATTTAAAAAGGAGATGCAGCTCAGTGGTAGAGCACCCCTGTGTTCCATCCCCACTACCAAAAATTAAGTACATATATAAATAAAAAATAAATTTAAAAAGGCTAGAGGTGCTTAGTGATACAGCACCCCCACAAGGTTCCATCCCCAGCACCAGGAAAAAAAAAAACAGAACCTAGTCAAAACCTGGTGGGTGCTATTCATTGCTACCTACAGGGTTTTTCAAATGCTGGAATTATTTTCTGTCAAATAGCTGCCTCAAGATCATTTCACTTAGGCTGCTTTGCCTTTCTGAGAAATAATGTGATAAAAATTTATGTCACACTTTAAAAGCCTAAAACTGGAATAATCCTTCAAAGTAAGGAACTTACTTCCTGAGGCTGATCAAATACACTCTGGAAATCTCCAAAGGAAGATGATGAGAATTCCCCGAATAAGGAACTTACTTCCTGAGGCTGATCAAATACACTCTGGAAATCTCCAAAGGAAGATGATGAGAATTCCCCGAAGATCTTCCTGAACAGCTCCTCAGGGTCAACGGTGGGACCTCCCCTCCAGTAGCTCTGCCCAGAGCTGCTGGCCCCAGCATCAAAGCCAGCAGAGCCATAGGCATCATATTGCTTCCGCTTCACCTCATCACTCAACACCTACAAGGAGAGGCAGAGCAAGCAGCATTTCTGGGTCTGTGGAGGCATAGGAACACAGATAAAAGCTCCACCAAGGAAAGCAGTCACAAGGCTAAAGGGCTCCATGTGCCAAAATATTCTATGAAGTTGTCTGGATGGGGGGACAGACTGCAACTTCAGCTCCTAGAAGAGGAGAGAGATGACTGCATGGGACTCTACATGTGAAGCCTGAAGTACTTTCAAGTGTCTTATGAAAAGCCCCAGGGGTGGCCACACTGTTAAAATGCCTGTATTCATCTTCACAGAACCTCTTAGGCATCCTGAAGCTTCAGATTAATACTGCACCTCTCTTCTCAGGAGACACCCTGGTAGAGACCTTAAGCTTCCTACCCTTTATCCTACAGGACAAAAACAGGAGGAAGAGCGACAGGAGCAGAGAGTGCATCATTTAAGCATGCCTTCTGAGGACTATTCTGACCGCTATATTAGCACAAAGCTCTTTGGAGGGAAGCGCCACTATGGAGGGGTGGGGAAAAAATGGAGTATTCACTTTCTCTTTCTCTCTCTCTTCTGGCTTCTGGACTACCAGCTTCCTTGGCTAAAGATAGCCACTGTGTAGTTATTCAGGCCCTGATCATGTAAGCCAAACTAATAAATCCCCTCTTATAAACTTTACATACTCTATTGATTCTGTTTCTCTGGGAAATCCTGACTAACACACATTAAATGTAGTTGCCAGGAAATAAGACACTGGCTCAGTGACTACTCACTGAGCTGAGGCTGCTTTTATATAAGGATGTCTATTTCTGTGGATATATGAAACTACATATTCAGAACCCCTTTAGGATGGTCAAAGTCTGGGGAGAAGAGACACTATCCAGCAATTCTACTTGGGTGATGCCCGCCTCACATGTGTATGCTGTGCCCTCTGATTACATTTCTAGTTCTTCCATGGCAATAATGGTCTTCCACCAACCCTAAGAAGATGTCATGAGTAGGAGAGTCATCAAACAAGGTCTGAATTAATCCAACTGGGAGGTCCCAAATTCAGCTGCAAATATAAATTGCCTGGGAAGCTTTATTAATTCGGATTATTGAACCCCATTCTTTGTTTTGTCATTAATATACATTAATATACATGACAAAGTGATTTAGTGTAGGGACACAGCCTTCACACTGGACCATATGACACTACAGGCTGTCCTGTGTACCAAAGCAAACTCTGATTCACACAGCTGAACAACAGTGACCACATGCACATTAGTCACATTACCTCATAGGCTTCTGCCAGCTGGGAGAATTTCTCCTTGGCTTTGGGATCATCTTTATTTGTGTCTGGGTGGTACTTTTTCGCCAGCTAAGGGAAAAAAAAAAATGTAAATTAATACAAACATGAGATGGTTATTAAAACAGAACCCAAATATGAGACACAATTATGTCTTCTTTATAACAGTTAACTCTAAAGACTTATCAAGTGCTGGGCATGGTAGCACATGCCTGTAATCCCAGTGGCTCAGGAAGCACACTGGGGATGTAGCTCAGTGGTTAAGTGACCCTAGGTTTAATCCTTGTTACCATAAAAAAAAAAAAAAATTATCAACTAACAGCAATTTTTAAAACAAGATTTAAAACATTTTTTCAATGCTATAAATGTACACATTTTCAACCACAACAAATCTCTACCAAAAATAATAACTAGTTCTTTAGAACTTGGGCACCATTGTGAAAACAAAGTGCCAAACAGTGTATTTATGATAGACATAGTGGTGCATGCCTGTAATCCCAGATACTTGGAAAGCTGAGGCAGAAGGATCACAAGTTTAAGGCCATCCTGGACAACTTAGTGAGACCCTGACTCAAAATAAAGCAAAAAAAGGGCTGGGGGTGTAGCTCAGTGGTAAAGGTAAAGTGCTTGCCTAACATGCATGAGGCCCTGGGTTTGGTCCTAGTACCACCAAAAAGAAAGAGATAAGATGTTAATCCCATATTGAACTCCTAGCTTTTATTTTATTGATAAGACCAAACCAAGAGTCTGGAACTCAACAATAGAATTTCACATTTTCTGTGTTAAGAAAGGAAATAATTCTTAAAACCCATAAACTGTTTTATCTGAATGTGAAAAATGTTTACCTAAAACTTAGATAAGTATACCTGCTAATTCAGAAAGCTCAGAATAAATTTAATTACAGAATTGGCCCTAAAAAATCTTTTTTATTTTAGGGCTGGGGTTGTACCTCAGTGGTAGAATGCTTGCCTACCATATGTGAGGCACTGGATTCAGTTCTCAGGGACTGCATATAAATAAATAAATTAAATTAAAGTCTATTAACAATTGAGAAAATATTTAAATTTTTTTACTTTAATTTTTTACTGGTACAATTTAATCATATATATATATAGACACTCATTGTTACATGTTTATACATGTAAACGAGTTTTATATTTTAGTACTGGCAATTAAACCCAGAGCTTCAAGCATGCTAAGCACATTCTACCACTGAGCTACACTAATAGCCTCTGGAAAAGAACCTAATTTGGACTCTTTTTTCTAAAGCATTAATCACTACAGTACCATACACTGAAGAATGCATCCAGCAAAGTCCACTACATCACACCAACAGATTCACATAACCCATCCATATAGGCTAAGCACTGTACCAGCTGGGATAACAGACTGACATACAGACCTGGTAATAAGCTTTCTTGATCTCTTTCTGGCTGGCATTGCGGGGCACTCCTAGTATCTGGTAATAATCTTCTTTGGCCAAAGGGGTGTTTGTGTGGAAGTAGGCAGTACAAACAAAAGGGTAACTTTTTACTCCTGAAAAGGAAAAGAAAATCACTCTCAGAATGTGAGTCAGACAGCACACACCTGTGAAAGAACAAGACTGGAGATACCAGCTTGTCCCCCTCCAAGCCCACTAGAGAAAAAGGCAGTATATTCAAAAGTGGACAAAGCCACTGGGTTAAAATAAATTCATACAATATCAGAGTACTGAGTGTGGTTGATTCTGATGAATTATACCATTGGTGTAATCTCATAACACCATTAGAGAAATACTAAAGATCCCAGATAAAGAGCTGTCTCTGGGAGATGATTAAGAAGGGATTTAGAAGGCTGTGGATGTGGTTCAGTGGTAGAGCATTTGCCTACCATGCCTGAGGCCCTGGCTTCAATCACTAGAAGGGCGTGGGGGCTGGGAGTAAATGGTAAGGACCTCATGCATGTAGACTATAGGACCATGATGTAATTAAACCAGAGACTCTGGGTTGCAGTGAGTGATGATATACAGTGGTGGTTAGGAGATAATTAATGAGGTCCAGGAATAAGCAGAGGGCCTTAAAGATACTCTAAGTCTGGATTTTATCCTGAGGGCAATAGGGAGTCACTGCAAGTATTAACAAGAAATTAATGGGTTAGATTTTGAAGGAGATTTGGGAGACTACTTAAAATTAATAAGAGCCTAGAGAGGTAGCATACACCTGTAATCCTAGTGACACAGGTTGGGGCAGGAAGAGCACACATTAGAGGTCACTCTGGCACTTTATTTAGCAAGACCATGTCTCAAGATTTTTTTAAAAAGGGCTGGGGTTGTGGCTCAGTAGTAGAGTGCTTGCTTAGCATGTATGAGGCACTGGGTTTAATTCTCAGCACCACATACAAATAAATAAATAAAGGTTCATCAACAACTAATAAAATATTTTTTAAAAAAGAAAGAAAAGAAAAAGAATAATAAAGGCTAGGGATGTAGCTCAGTAGTAGAGTGCCCGGGGTTCAATCCCCAATACTACAAAAATAAATAAATAAATAGATGGATAGATAGATAAATTAACAATAAAATTAATAGGAGTATGGGGATGTAGTTCACTGGTAGAGCATTTGCCTAGCATCATGGGCAAGGCCTTGGGTTCAATTTCCAGTACTGTTTAAAAAAAAAGAAAAGAAAAAACGCAATCAGAAAAGTTGAGAATATCCAGGAAAGTGTCAGGAGAAGGGATGATTAGACACAAGAATGAGCAGGAAGGGTCAGAATAAAATCAGGAACAGGAAGTAAAGCTGTTTTTGTTATACCCAATATTTCTAGAATGGGAAAAGCGGACAATAAAAGTAGTAGAGGTTAGGAGGCTGTTACTGTCTCTTCAGTCAGTCTTGAGGAGACATTAGAACTGGTTTCTCAGTGATCCTATAACCTCTTCCCTTTTCCTCAAGAGTAAGGGATTACCTTAACCATTTCCAGCTTCTCCTTCCAATGCCAAAGGCTGAGGCCAGAAGTGGCAAAGATTCTAAGCAGCTATGGATTCAACATCATCAGCAGAGTTAGAATGGGAGACATGCAAAACTGCATATGGATAAAGACAAATCACATTTCTCTATTACAAATTTGATAACACTGTTCAAAATGCATCAATGATCAGCAATAATTTAAAGAGTTTAGCCGGGTGCAGTGGCACATGCCTGTAATCCCAGGGGCTCGGAAGGCTGAGGAAGGGGGATTGGGATCGAGAGCCTCAGCAATGATGAGGCACTAAGCAACTCAGTGACACCCTGTCTCTAAATAAAATACAAAAAAAGGGCTGGGGATGTGACCCTGTGATCGAGTGCCTCTGAGTTAAATCCCTGGTACCCAAAACAAGAAAAAGAAAACAACAACAAAAAATCCTGACATTATAAATGTCATAAAACCCTAAAAATGACCATTTTGTTCATACTGAGAAAACAGCATGACATTTTTTCAAATAATTCTCAAAAAACCTGAACAAACTACTGCTCCATCCAGGAATACGACAGGAAGAGAATTTTAAAATGTCTTCACTGGATTAAACTCACTCCCAATCTCTTGTTCTCTGCTACATTCCCAGTGCCTGAAATGGTAGCTGACATAGGGTAGCCTCAACAAATATCTGCCTATGAATTAATTTTCAGAGTTAAGACAGGATCAGAGAGATTAAATAATACACCCAGGTCACACACTTTGCAGGAGGAAAGTCTGTTCAAAACCCATGCTTTTTTTTTTTTTTTTTAATGCTGCACAACACAATCACAATTACTGTTATTTTAATAACTACCTATTATGTAACTGGTACAAAATTGGTCCCCAATAGGAAATTATCTTATTAAATTTTCCAGTAAGAGCTTTTTTCCTCCTTCTTTTTCTGGGAACTGAACATCAAACCCAGGGGTATTTTAGCACTAAGCTACATGCCCAGCCCACTTTTTTTAACTTTTTAATTTTAAGACAGCGTCTTGCTAAATTGCTCAGGATAGGCTCAAACTTGCAATTCTCCTGCCTCAGGATCCAAAGTTGCTGGGATTGTAGGCATGCACTAAGTCCCAGTCAGCCAAGGCTCCTTAATCTTACTTATAAATTTATAGATAACTTACAATTCCCAAATTCTAGAGGACACAAAACAACTATCATAATTCAAGAATATAAAAGGTTGCTCAATGCTTCCCTCCTTCCCTTTCACTAAAACTGAAGTCATCCAATGCACAGCATAAGAAAACATCATGGCTAAGCACTTTAAGTCTTAATACACATTAATTTGATGTAATCTCTGGCAATTAAGAAGATGCTAGGTTTAAATCAAAGTCTAATGCTTTTTAGCTTTGTGACTTTCTACAAATTGTTTAGCATCTAAGCCTCAATTTTTCTATAAAATGGAATGGTAACAGTGCTTATCAATAAGGCAATATGATGGAAACATGGTAAAGTGCTCATATATGTCAGAATGTGTTATTACAATCATTGTCTAAAGAACTTCTTAAGAACATATTCTTAAAAAAGACTATTAACGTGTCCTTTAATTTACATCATGTGGTGGGAAGGGTATGAGCTATGGATATGACAACTCTGAGTTTGAGACAACTAACTTCACGACCTTGGTCAGGGTCAATTCCTGATAGTGCCTGTTTTTAAAATGGGGATGAAGATCTGCATATTGCAGGGCTGTTGAGTGACTAGCACTCATCAAATGGCAGTTGCCTCCTGCTTTCTCCTACAAGTAAAAGGTGCAGAGATACAGAAGGAATAGAGCAAGGGAGCCGCAGAGTCGAGAAATGTTGACAGAGGTGAAGGTTCATGGCCTTCGGGGCGGTTCATCACCCCGAACTCCGTGCAGTTCTTCCCCCTAGACGGCTATAGCGAGCCACCTGGGCCTCTCTGCCTCCCACTTGCCTTGTCTCCCCACTAATTCCGCACCCAAGTCGGAAGACACCTCCACCCTGCTCCCCTCGAGGCCGGAGCGAGGCGAGTCACTCATTGCTAGTTCCTGGAGCCACAATTCGAGCGCAGGAGCCTGCCCTCACCTGTGAGGCTGACACCGGGTCTCAATGTCAGCAGCGCCCGGGGGCCGCGAGCTCCCAAGAAAGGCGCGAAGGCGAGGACGCTCAGCTTGCGACCCAGAGACGCCCCCACCACACCCTCCCGCGGCGGTCGGGCCCCTCTCCCCGCTGCAGCCAGCAGCCGCGGGTTCCCCACAGCTACCAGAAACCAGCGTGTGGAACACCGCGCCGCCATCTTGGCCCGGGGACACTGCGCCTGCGCCGGCCGGCTCAAGGAGGCCTCGCAGGACGGCGCTTCCGGGGACGGGGCCTCCACGCGCACGCAGGGACGCACGCGTTGCGCACGCGCAGCCTCCCTGGCTCGCCTTGCTGATAGCCCGTGCCGGCTTGAGCTTTGCTTTGAAGATGCTGTCAGGCACACTTGCCCAGGAGAATCCAGTCATTTTGTGCTGGACGATCAAAGACTGCACTTTGCCTGTGAACGACGTGGCTGAGGGTAGCGATTGTAACTGGCCTGAGGATTCTGGCCAGGAGGGGAACTACAAGTCCCTGCAGGCTACGCGGCCTTAGGTCGCGCGGATCCCAGCATGCAGCGCGCGGCTGCCTTCGGCTGACCCTGAAGCTTGCGTCTCTGAGCGTGTGGGTCGCTCAGGGAGCCCCGCCTCCCAGAACCTGTGAGCTGGATGGCGAGAGTTCTGCTCTTGCTAAGCATAGTTGCCTTCTCCAAAAATGTAGCGAACTCGCTGATCATTCAGAATGATAGCCGAGCTCCCCCAAAATGAGTTTCATAAACCTTGTGAACACCCATTGTCTCGTGCATCCGCGGTTTTATGCACTTTGTAGAATACTGGGGATAGGGAGATGAATGTCATACCATCCCTGCCCTGGAAGAGCAAACCTCACTTGAGACAGACTCCGCCGGGCGCGGTGGCACCCGCCTGTAATCTCAACGGCTCAGGAAGTTGAACCAGGAGGATCTCAAGTTCAAGGCCAGCCTCTGCAATTTATCGAGGCCCTGTCTCAAAAAATTAAAAGGACTGGGATGTGACTCAGCAGTTAAGCGCTCCTGGGTTCAATTCCCAGTTTAAAAAAAAAAAAAAAAAAGCGTGGGAGTCCTGAGGTTGGTAAAGTGGCCCCGTTAAATCCCCAGTCCCCTCTCCCAGAAAAAGAGAGAGGGAGAGACGCACGCTCCTTGATAAGTAACACAAGTAACAGTGTACTAAATGCTATTCTAAGTGTACACTGGTAAGGAGTCATTCTGGGGAAGTTGGATTCAACTGTCAAGGCCTTCTGAGAGGTAATGTTCGAATTGGACTTTGATAAAAAGTGCATCTGGTAGGGATAAAGTAATACAAGGGCAAGAATTTAAAAATCTAATGTCTGGAGATGCAAAAGTGTTTGCTTAAACCCTAAAGTCAGGGTTTGCAAATAGGAGGCTAGAAAGGTAAGACCTGCCTGATAAGTTGCAAGGAAGTTTCAACTTGCATTCTTCCAAGACCATCACCTCACCAAGCAATAGGAAGGGAACCTAAGGGTTCATCAATGGGTTTAGGAAGATCACTGCTCCCCCTGCTCTCTACCCCCAGTATTATACAGAATAGTTGTGTGTATGTGGATCTGTCTTTCTTCCCTCCTCCCTCCCTTCTTCCTTCCTTCCTTTCTTCTTCTTCTTTGTTTCCACCAGGGATTGAACCCAGGGAGAACCACATCTACCAGAGAGCCACATCCCCAGCCCATTTTTTTATTTTGAGACAGGGTCTCACTAAGTTGCTGAGCCTGTCCTTGAACTTGTGATCCTCCTGCCTCAGCCTCCAAAGTCGCTGGAATTACAGGTGTGCACCACCACACCTGGTTAGGCTTGATTCTTTTTTTTTTTTAATATTTATTTTTTGGCGGACACAACATCTTTGTTTGTATGTGGTGCTGAGGATCAAACCCGGGCCTCACGCATGCCAGGCGAGCGCCACATCCCCAGCCCTAGGCTTGATTCTTAAGAAGAATCTGAGAAGAGTCATTGTCGGGGAGGGGTTGGAGGAAGAAGCAGCGATGGATAGATACTGGGGCTTGAAACCAGGGCCTCATATATGCTAGGCGATCACTCTACTACTGAGCTACACCCCCAGTCCTGGACATCCAAATGGGAGGCATTCGGGCTTTTTCTCTGCCTTTAGAGGAGTCTGGCCTATGGTTTTCTGTTTGTTTGTTTGGGGATACTGGAGATTGAACCCAGGGGTACTTAAACACTGAGCCACATCCCCAGACCTTTTTATATATTTTAATAGAGACAGGGTCTCCTGAGTTGCTAAATGCCTTGCTAAGTTGCTGAGACTGGCTTTGAACTTGCAATCCTCCTGCCTCAGTCTCCTAAACCACTTGGATTACAGGTGTGCACCACCGCACCTGGCTGACCTGTTTTTTGACTGGTGTTGGGGTACAGAACAGATACTTTTTATTTTTATTATTTATTTATTTTATTAATTAAATACTAAGAATTGGGAAAAAAAAAAAAAGAATTGAACCCAGGGGCACTTTACCACTGGACTATATCACCGCCCTTTTTATTTTGAGACAGGATATCACTGAGTTTCTCAGAGCATCAGTAATGTTGTCAAGTTTGGTCTTGAATTTGCAATCCTCCTGCCTCAGCTTTCCAAGTTGCTGGGATTACAGGTATATGCCAACACCCCTGAAAGAGCAGATATATATATATTTTTTATTGTTGATAGATCTTTATTTTTATTTATTTATTTATTTAAATGTGGTGCTGAGAATCGAACCCAGTGCCTCACACATGCCAGGCAAGTGCTCTACCACTGACCCCTAGTCCCAGCCCCAACAGAAACTTTTTAAATGATTCCCCAACCAAGCTAATGAACCCAATTAATGAGAAGGTTTGGGGAGAATGATAAGTTATTATTTGGGCTTATAATGTTTGAGATGTCTGACTGTCTTATTTTAGGCAATATGTATATGATTATGGAGAAATCTGAAAGCTGTAATGTGCTAAGAATAACTTCTTTACTTCTTTGCAGTTCACAATTCTTCTTCTTTTTTGGTACTGGGAATTAACTCAAGGGCACTCAACCACTGAGCCACATCCCCAGCCCTATTTTGTGTTTTATTTAGAGGCAGGGTCTTCCTGAGTTGCCTAGCACCTTGTTGTTGAGGCTGGCTTTGAACTGGCAATCCTTCTTCCTCAGCCTCCCAAGCCACTGGGATTACAGGAGTGTGCCACCACACCTGGCTTCTTCTTATCATATTTTTTTTTGATACAGGGATTGAATCCAGGGGTGCTTAAATACTTGAGCCACATCCCCAGCCCCCCCCCCACTTTTTTAGTTTAATAAATAAATACCTTTATTTTACTTGTTTATGTTTTATGCAGTGCTAAGGATCAAACCCAGTGCCCACACGTGCCAGGTGAGTGCTCTACCACAGAGCCATCCCAGCACCGCCCAGCCCTTTTTATATTTTATTTAGAGACAGGGTGTCACTACCACAGGAAAGCAGGGAGCTGAAACTCCTAACCTTGATTCTTGTGTTCTGATGAAAGAAGATTTAATGTCAGACACTAAAAATCACGTAAGAGAACTTTATTAGAAGTGAATGTGAGGTGAAAATACAGTAAAACAAAAGTGAGCATTAAGCAAAAAGTACTCTCAAGGTAAAGAGTGGGCTATCTCCAAGCAGAGTAGGACAAAGGAGACAATGCCATCCCAATTTTATTACTGTTTGATGTTTACCAGGACAACTGGGGACCACCTTCTATACTCTTTGCCAACCAGGTGTTCCACTCTTCCTTCACATCAGGTGGTGGAGGAGTTTTTTACCTTAGTTGGTCCTCTCTAAAACTGTCATGGTAGCCATCCTATTTAAGGGGGCTTCATCTACAAGTCAATCCCATGTTAATGTGGGCACTAGGATAAATCACTGGTCAGAAGTTACCTTAGTGCACCTGTGCTACTAAAGGAATCTTCCTCCCCAGATAAATGGAGGCACCTTTAGCCATAATTCCTAGCTTCATGTCAATATCAGTGGACCCTATCAAAAGTTAATTCCATTAATCCTTTTCTCTTGACATGTTTCCCGATTAGCTCCTTTTGCTTCCATTTCTTTTCTACAAATTAACTACCATACTTTGCTTTCTTGTTTAGTTTGGAAGTAGTTTAAAGAAGACCCTTAAATAATTTAAAGTACACCTGTGACCTTGGCTGCATCTCACCGCTTATTACTAGCTACTACCTAACATCAGTAAGTTGCTCAGGGCCTCACTGAGTTGCTGAAGCTGGCTTTGAACTCAGGATCCTCCTGCCTCTGCTTCCTGAGCTGCTGGATTACAGTCACTTGCCACCATGCCCAGTTCTTCTGACATTTTATATTCCAATATGATCAGAACTCTGTGAAGCGGGTAGGAAAGATTATTTTCTTTTCCTTTTTTTTTTTTTTTCCTTGTACTGGGAATTGATCTCAGGGATACTCAACCACTAAACCACATCTCTAGACCTTTTTGTATTTTATTTAGAGACAGGGTCTCAATGAGTTTCTTAGCGCTTTGCTTTTGCTGAGGCTGGCTTTGAACTTGCGATTCTCCTGCTTCAACCTTCCAAGCCACTAGGATTACAGGAGTGTACCACCGTGCCTGGCAAAAAGACTTTCTCTAGTGGACACCCCATCCAAATACAATAAATTCTGAAAGAATGTAAAGATTTGTTCAAGGTCACATGGCCAGTAACACCTAAGACCAGGTCTTTTTTTTTTTTAATTTTTTAATATTTATTTGTTTTTAGTTTTTGGCGGGCACAACATCTTTGTTTGTATGTGGTGCTGAGGATCGAACTCAGGCCGCATGCATGCCAGGCAAGCGTGCTACCGCTTGAGCCACATCCCCAGCCCCAAGACCAGGTCTTCTAACAGTGAAAACATGGCTCTTTCCTGTAAACCATGTGGCCTGTTATATCATTAGTTCTTAGTTGCCTAGCCCTTGATAATTTACAAAATATTTTCTCATGTTTCATTTCATTTGATTCTCACAAGAAGAGGGAGGCAGAACAAATATTGTCACCCTTATGTAGGAACTGTTGCCCTGCCTTCCAAAGCCTTCAATTGGGACAGGATACAAATTGTCCATCTCAGGCCTGTTGCCAAAGACTGGGAGGAGCACATGGACCACATCTCCCCGCATTCCTAGGCAGAGTAAGCCTCCTCTCCCTGTGCCCTGTGTTCTCCATTCTGAATTCCCCCAATCTTGAGCTTTAAGGAGAAATAAAATTGCTTACAGAGAGCATGCAAGGCA